ACTTCCATAGACTCCTAGAGTTGGAAGGGATCCCCAAAGGCAATCCAGTCCAACCCCATTCTGCCAGGAAGGATGACACTTCTGCCTGCCTTTGTTTCCCCTTTTCCCAGGATGGCAGCTTGCAGTGCCCGTCGTGTAAGGCCATCTACGGGGAGAAGACGGGCACGCAGCCCAGCGGGAAGATGGCCGTCTCCACCCTCTCGGAATCCCTCCCAGGGTACGAGGACTGCGGCTCCCTCGAAATCATGTACTTGATCCACAAGGGCATTCAGGTGAGGATGTTCAGGTGCCAAGAGTAGGAAAACCAAACCAATAGAAGGGCTCCAGTTCCACCCCCAAGTCAGGTAGGAGAGGCCTTTGGAACTCTCTGAAAAGACGCTCAGAGAGGCTAACTATTCTAAAAGCAATGCCGCGCACTGTATGACCATAAAATAGGTTACCGTATATCCTCGAGTATAAGCCAATCTGAATATAAGCCGAGGCATGGCTCTGCGACTGTTATGCAAGAAAGACAAAAATACCCATTTTGCCACCCTCAAAAAGGTTATGTGACTATTACGTGGTGGTGACTATTATGTGATGAAATACCGCGTATACTCAAGCCGACCTGAATATAAGCCGAGGCACCTACTTACACAACAGAAAACTGGGAAAATGTATTGACTCCAGTCAAAGTCGAGGGTGGAAAATACAGCAGCTCAAAATGAAAACTGATATCAATAAAATTGCATTAACTGTGGCCTCAGTAGGTTAAATGTTTTTGAATATTTACATAATAGCATAATTTAAGATAAGACTGTTCAACTCTGATTAAACCATTATTCTAATCTTCTTCAATATCTATGTGCTTACATATCCTTCAAATAATAGAGTAAAATGATAAATGTAATAATAAAGGAGTAAAATAATAAATGTAATAATAATAGAGTAATATAATAATAGAGTAAAATAATAAATATAATGATAATAGAGTAAAATAATAAATGCAATAATAGTAGAGAAGTAAAATAATAAATGCAATAATGGATTGAAATAATAAATATAGTAATAGAGTAAAATAATAAATGCAATAATAATGGATTGAAATAATATATGTAATAATAACAATAAACAGAGTAAAATAATAAATGTAATAATAAAAGAGTAAAACAACAACAACAACAATAATAATAATAATAATAATAGATGAAAATAATACATGCAATAATAATGGATTGAAATAATAAATGTAATAACAGAGTAAAATAATAAATATAATAATAGAGTAAAATAATATATGTAAGAATATTTATTTATTTATTTACTTTGGCGACTCAGAGCGGTTAACAACCAGTATCAGCAATACAGTACAAAATCATAATCATTTAAAACAGTAATATCAATCAATTAACATCAACATCAATACAGCAGTACAGAAAACAACAATCCATCATGTCCCATCAATAGAATCAGCATCCGATCTCGTTGTCCATAATCCATATTCCAGTAATCAATCAATTGTGCTGCTTAGTTGAATGCCTGATCGAAGAGCCAGGTCTTCACTTTAACAATAATAAACAGAGTAAAATAATAAATGCAATAATAATGGATTGAAATAATAAATATAATAATAATAATAATAATACAGTAAAATAATAAATATAATAATGGAGTAAAATAATATATGTAATAATAACAATAAACAGGAAAATAATAAATGTAATAATAAAAGAGTAAAATAATAATTATAATAATAATAATAGTAGACGAAAATAATACATGCAATAATAATGGAGTAAAATAATACATGTAATAATAAAAGAGTAAAATAATAATAATAGAGTAAAATAATAAATGCAATAATAGTGGATTGAAATAATAAATGTAATAATAATAGAGTATCACCGCGGTTCACAACACACAAAACCAGCAAAATTTCAATACACCAATATAAAACGGTTAACGACCTAATCTAATATACAGTTAATACACAAGTGCTATAATAACTATAGAGTAAAATAATAAATATAATAATAAGACTAAAATGCAGTAATAATGGATTGAAATAATAAATGTAATAAAATAATAAAAATAATGGAGTAAAATAATATATGTAATAATAGCAATAATAAACAGTAAAATAATAAATGTAATAATAATAGAGTAAAATAATAAACAACCTTGACTCAAGTTTAAGCCGAGGGCTGAAAAACTCTGCTTATACTCAAGTATATACGGTATGTTGGCAGAGAAATGAGGTATAGAAAGAATAGGCAAATAATACTCTTGTTTTTGGGAGTGTTGTTTACAGCAGCTTTTTCCAGCTGCTTGGCCTCTAGATTCCCATTCTCCTCTATTAACCCCAGAGCGTGGTGCTGCTTCTTGTTGGGGATAATGGAGGTTGTAGTTCAATTCACCAGGGGAATGCGGGGGCTTGTTTCAGACGCAGATTTGTAAGGTTTTGCAAATATAGGAGCAAACGTTTTTAGTGCTCCAGCATTCAAGCCAGGGATACTTGGGCTGACGAGAGGGTTCTCTGTCGTTTCAGGGTCCGGAACATCCCAACCCGGGGCTGCCATTCACCGCAAGGGGCTTCCCTCGCTACTGTTACCTCCCGGACAATGAGAAAGGACGGAAGGTACGGAGCAGTCCAGCTAGCCAAAAATAGATAGATTGTTTTGGGGTGTTAGATAATATTATTTAGTTAATTAATAACACTATTTATTAGAAAGATGCCAGTTACTGGTTTGGTTTATGAATGCTCCCATTAGTAAAATGCATAATGAAGTGGGTGAACTACAATTCCCAAAACCGTGGGTCAATCTTTCCTCCACATCTGGCCTGTACGCACAGTTGTCCATGTTGCACCCGTGTGCTAAGTTTGACCCAGATCCGACRTTGGCTGGGCTCAGTTCTCTCWGGATGCAGGKGAACTACAATTCCCAAAACCRTGGGCAACTCTTTCCCCCACATCAGGCCTGTACGCACAGTTGTCCATGTTGCACCYGTGTGCCAAGTCTGACCTAGATCCGACGTTGGCTGGGTTCAGTCCTCTCGGGATGCAGGTGAACTACAATTCCCAAGGACATTGGTGGGCGTAGGGAGACGTGTTCATGGTGCCCGCTGTAACTTGTAATGTCCTTGGTGGGAGGGCTTTTGGTGGCTCTTCAGCACTGTGGAGGTGGGAAGCTGTCTAAGTGAACACCCAAGCCACACACATACATGTAGGTAACGTGCCAAGTTTGGTGCAGATCCATTGTGGGCTGGGTTCAGAGTACTCTTTGATTGTAGGTAAACTATAAATCCCAGCAACTACAACTCCCAAATATCAAGGTCTGTTTGCCCTAACACTCCACCTGTGTTCACATTTGGGCCTGTTGAGTATTCGTGCCAAGTTTGGCCCAGATCCATCATTGTTTGAGTACACAGTGCTCTCTGGATGTAGGTGAACTACAACTCCCAAACATACGGTCAATGCTCACTAAACCTTTCCAGTATTTTCTGCTGATCATGGGAGTTCTGTGTGCCAAATTTGGTTCAATTCCATCACTGGTGGAGTTCAGAATGCTCTTTGATTGTAGGTGAGCTATAAATCCCAGCAACTACAACTCCCACATATCAAGGTCTATTTCCCCCAACACTCCACATGTGTTCACATTTGGGCATATTGAGTATTTGTGCCAAGTTTGGTCCAGATCCATCATTGTGTGAGTCCACAGTGCACAGTAGAGGTGAACTACAACTCCAAAAACTACAACTCCAAAGCTCAAGGTCAACGCCCACCAAACTCTTCCAGTATTTTCTGCTGGTCATGGGAGTTCTTTGTGTCAGGTTTTCATTGGTCATGGGAGTTCTGTGTGACAAGTTTGGTTTAATTTCATCGTTGGTGGAGTTCAGAATGCTCTTTGATTGTAGGTGAGCTATAAATCCCAGCATCTACAACTCCCACATATCAAGGTGTATTTCCCGTAACACTCCACCAGTGTTCACATTTGGGCATATTGAGTACTCATGCCAAGTCTAGTCCAGATCCATCATTGTGTGAGTCCACAGTGCTCTCTGTATATAGGTGAACTACAACTCCAAAACTCAAGGTCAATGGCCACTGAACCCTTCGAGTATTTTCTGCTGATCATGGGAGTTCTGTGTGCCAAGTTTGGTTGAATTCCATCGTTGGTGGAGTTCAGAATGCTCTCTGATTGTAGGTGAACTATAAATCCCAGCATCTACAACTCCCAAATATCAAGGTCTATTTTCCCCAAACTCCACCAGTGTTCACATTTGGGCATATTGAGTATTCTTGTAGAGTTTGGTCCAGATCCATCATTGTGTGAGTCCATAGTGCTCTCTGGATGGAGGTGAACTACAACTCCAAAACTCAAGGTCAATGGCCACTGAACCCTTCGAGAATTTTCTGCTGATCATGGGAGTTCTGTGTTCCAAGTTTGGTTCAGTTCCATCGTTGGTGGAGTTCAGAATGGTCTTTGATTGTAGGTGAACTATAAATCCCAGCATCTACAACTCCCAAATATCAAGGTCTATTTCCCTCAAACTCCACCAGTGCTCACATTTGGGCATATTGAGTACTCATGCCAAGTCTGGTCCAGATCCATCATTATGTGAGTCCACAGTGCTCTCTGGATGGAGGTGAACTACAACTCCAAAACTCAAGGTCAATGACCACTGAACCCTTCAAGTATTTTCTGCTGATCATGGGAGTTTTGTGTTCCAAGTTTGGTTCAATTTCATTGTTGGTGGAGTTCAGAGTGCTCTTTGATTGTAGGTGACCTATAAATCCCAGCAACTACAACTCCCAAATGAAAAAATCAACCACAACCCCACCAGTATTCAAATTTGGTTGTTTTGGGTATTTGTGCCCAATGTGGTCCAGTGAATGAAAATACATCCTGCACATCAGATATTTACATTGCAATTCATAACAGGAGCAAAATTACGATGATGAAGTAGCAACGAGAGTAATGTGATGGTTGGGGGTCACCACAACATGCGGAACTGGATTAAGGGGTCGCAGCATTGGGAAGGTTGAGAAACACTGGTTTACTTGACGAGATAGTCAAGTCTACTCAGATTGTCGTTGTTGTGGGCCTTTGAGTTGTTTCGGGCTCAGGTTGATCCTAACTCTGAAGGGCTGGGGAAAGGGCCTTGGAGGGCCACATCCGGCCCGCGGGACGTAGTTTGGGGACTCCTAGCATTCTGGACAGACTCTTGCCTGTCAGTCATGATTCCCATCGTCCTCTTCCCTCGCAGGTGCTGGAACTGTTGAAGCTGGCCTGGCGGAGGCGGCTGATCTTCACGGTGGGGACCTCCAGCACGACGGGCGAGAGCAATACCGTGGTCTGGAACGAGATCCACCACAAGACGGAGATGAACTCCAACCTCTCGGGCCACGGGTACCCGGACCCCAACTACCTGGACAATGTGCTGGCCGAACTGGCCGCTCAGGGCGTCACGGAGGACTGCTTGAGACCCTGAGACTAAGCGGCGTTGGGATTCCTCGCGAACCGAGCGCCCCTCGTTGCCTTAAACCCCTTTTGCCCCGTTCCTCCCGAGCAATAGAAGGTTTACATGTGCACATCTGTAAATACACACCCACCGTCGGATAAACAAACAAAAGAACTGTTTTATCACACTCGTTTTTGTCGCCTCCTTCCCGTCTACGCGAGACACGATTTGAAGCAGTTACGTTCTGCGCTGTTTCCCATTAGACAGAGGCGCTTTCCCCACCTCTGTCCACAAATTATGTATTTTTTAAAATTTACAGTATTTATATTCCGATTGGGCTTTCCCATCTTCGGCATCTTGGAGGCTGTGCTTGGTTCCGGCCACTGGGAGGTGCTGTTGCTCCCCTTTCCCTGCCGAAGAGGCGGTGGATGAAAGGAACTGAAGCAGTAGCCCCGCCCACTGGCTATATATACTCTCAAGGGGAGAGTGGGCGGGGGCTATCGCCTAAAAGTGTCTAATAAATGTTCTAGAAGATTCCGAACTGTCTGCGCAGGCGCAGGAAATACCATATGTGCGATTCACAGTTGACCACGATGGGGAATATGTATTTTTTTTAATTTACAGTATTTATATTCCACCCTTCTCCTCAGAGTGGATTGCAGGACACATATACGGCAAACTTTCAATGCCGTTATACAATGACAAGATAACTGTACATAGATAGAGGTGTATATATATATATATATAGGCTTTCCCATCTTCGGCATCTTGGAGGCTGTGCTTGATTTCGGCCACTGGGAGGTGCTGTCGCTCCACTTTCTCTGCCGAAGAGCTTTGTTCGTAAACTTCCTCCTTGATCAAACCACTGGCATTTTTCTTATGGGTGCCTTTAAATACCTCCTCGCTTAAAGCAGAACCCATTTATCTACTCACAATTTTTCAATCTGCTAGATAGGCAGAAGTTGAGTCAAAGGCCAGGAGGTCACCTGACCCGGGCTTCAAACTCAAATCGTTCGATTGACAAGATTTTACTGCAGTTGGCAGAGTCAGAACAATTTGCAAGAGCAAATTAAATGGCGGAAATACCAACCAGGGGGCAGTCCCTAAAGACCTTGGCCTGCACTTAAAAATAATCGGCACTAACAAAATTACCGTTTGTCAGCTGCAAAAGGCCACCCTACTTGGCCAGCAGAGTGACCTTGTTGTGTAGCAAATAATAATAGTAGTAGTAGTAATAATAGAACAGCAAAGACTCAAACACTCTGGCATAATCCTGTCAGGGTGGTCCCAGAGGTGATGCGCACACTGGGCGCAGTGCCTAAAGACCTTGGCCCGCACTTAAAAATAATCAGCACTGGCAAAATTACCATTTGTCAGCTGCAAAAGGCAGCTACTCAGATCTGCACGCATTATTCGCTGATACATCACACAGTCCTAGACACTTGGGAAGTGTCCAACGTGTGATCCAATACAACAGCCAGCAGAGTATTCTTATTTGCTGCATACTCATCTTGTGTATCAAATAGTTATTATTTTTTTATACATACATAGATACACGCATGGGGTTGGATTGGATGATTCCTGGGGTCCCTTCCAACTCTAGGATTCTATCAGTTGATCAATCCATTGATCAATTTATCATGTTGGCATGACTCAATCAAGAAGATTACCCTGATATTAAGTCCAGACGTGTCCCGAGTCTGGTGTTAATCTCCATTTCTAAGCTGATGAGCCGGCATTGTCCATAGACACCTCCAAGGTCATGTGGCCAGCATGACTGCATGGAGTGCTGTTACCTTCTCGCTGGAGCGATAACTATTAATCTACTCACATTCGCATGTATTTGAATTGCTAGGTTGGCAGAACCTGGGGCTAACAGCAGGACCTCACCCAGTTCTGAACTGGTAACCTTTCAGTCAGCAAGTTCGCTGTTACCTTCCCGCCGGAGTGGTAGCTACTGATCTACTCACATTCGCATGTTTTTGAATTGCAAGGTTGGCAGAAGCTGGGGCTAACAGCAGGAGCTCACCTAGCTCCCCAGATTGGAACTGGTGACCTTTCGGTCAGCAAGTTCAGCAGCTCAGCAGTTTAATCCGCTGCACCAATGGGGACTCCTTATGATTAGGAAAGTACGTTGCATTGACATGGAATCATAATCCACGCGAGATACAATCAAAGTCTCTAGTCCATGTGAGATACAATCCAAGCTGCTAGGAGTTACGTCCTGTTGTGTTTCCTCCATTTTTGCAGTTTGGGGGCCGTACTGAGTTGTATGTAGGAGAGAGGCAAGAAGGAGACGCGGGACTTTCTTCCGCCGCAGGATTTATTGGTTTAATATGCGCTCATCACACTTGAGCAAGCCAGTCTCGGGGCCTGCGATACATGAAGACATACTCTGTCCAAGGAATTACACAGAAGAGACTCCCGCCTGTAAAGAGTTTTGTACAGAGAAAAACAAACAAAAATAATAATAATAATAAGCCGATAACAAAATAAAGACGTTATTAGCTGTCAAACTGATCTTGTTCTCTAACAAAATTGGATAGCCCCCAAAGTGACTAAGACTACAAAATTGGAATACGTCCATACCACTGGAGTAAGAGGTTATCTGATTTTATTAACACCTAGTATCGTTCTGTACACAAGTCCGTTAAGTGGGTTGGATTCGTTAGTGGGTTTAATACTATCTGTACAAGGTTTAAGTGCTGTCGTACGACTTGTGCGGATGGGTCGCCTTGGCTTTTTTCGCCTCCGTGAAACCGGCATGCGTCTCATCGCTCGGAAAACGGTCGTAACCATCCGGTCCTTTGGTGATGGCGCTCACCGGGACATGTGGCGTTCGCACGGACAATTTGGGAGGCCTGGCAGGTCGCAGAGCAGGAAGTCCGCAAAGCTTTATCGGCATGCAATGAAGGGTGACAGCCCTCATTTCCTTGCAACGGGGATTAAGAGAACAGTGGGTGTTATGACCCTGGGTTCAACTGTGAGCCATAGATATATATGTAAGGCGTAACAGAGTCATCTTTAGTCTCGACAAAGGTTATGAACCTGTAGAGAAACCCTATTTCAAAGGACCCTCCAAAGTTGGACACAGAAACAATGCTGAGACTATCTGGACTAAAGATGGCTCCGACATGCGAGATAAATCCCCCCTCAAATGGGGTCGGGACTGAGCTGTCGCCCATAAAGTTTGGAAAATATAATTAATTCCCTGGGGAAAAATAAACAAAACCCCCTGCGTCCTCATGGAAGAAAAGGCAAGTCAGGCTCTGCTAGGTCTGGAAACTAAAAATAGACATTAAAAGCCAGCGGTAAGAGACCGAAAGTAGAGAAAGTCGTGAATCTAACTGCTGAAGCCAACAAGGCAACTGTCCGGAGGAGCACGGCTTGAGGAATATGAGACTCTATATCATGGAACCAACTGGCAATCCCCCTAAGCCAGTGTATCCCAACTTTTTTTTGACCAGGGATCACTCTCGAACATTAGGACCAAAAGGGTTACGAATTACGAATTTCTGGAGACAATGCTGATGGAATTGTTCCAGGCACTGAGTGTGACGTGTGTAGACAGTCCACGTTTCTCAGATGTATAGAAGGGGTTGGGAAGACAAGGCCTTTATAAACAAGCTCCTTGGTCTTCCTACTGATGTCCCGGTCCTCAAACACTCTCTGCTTCATTCGGAAGAATGCTGCACTCGCAGAGCTCAGGCGGTGTTGTATTACTGTGTCAATGTGGACTTTTATGGAGGGGTGGCTGCCAAGGTTGGGAGGACAATTACTTTATTAACAAGCTCCTTGGTCTCTCTACGGATGTCCCGGTCCTCAAACACTCTCTGCTTCATTCGGAAGAATGCTGCACTCGCAGAGCTCAGGCGGTGTTGTTTTTCAGTGTCAATGCTGACTTTTATGGAGAGGGGGGTGCCAAGGGAGGGGAAATGACCACCATCTTCTAATGTTACATAATGAAGCTATAAGCAGAAGGATTGGCTGGTGACTGCTGGAAGAGCACTTTGGTTTTCTCGGTGTTCAATGAGAGGCCGAGCTTCTGCTTCTGCGAAGGTGTTGAGAGTGGCTTGTAGGCCTTCTTGGTAGGACCTTGAGAAAACATGATGCAATGTCAGATGAAGTTTCAGCAGGCAGTTTTCACGTCAGGGAGGTAATGAATGCAGTTCAGGTTTGAGCTTGTCCCTAAAGGAACCCTGTGTCCAAAATATATTAAAGCCCCTCAAAGTTCAGACTAAAAACCACTGCAGGATTCACTGCCCTGTTAACCAGGGAGCCTCCTGTCATAGCAGCAGCGCACAGATGCATCAGGGAGGTTCACTCAAGTACATTTTGTGCCCAACAGAATCCACACCTGTTCAAAAAAGTCATGCTCGCAGGCCACCTTTGTTCCAACTCCAGAGGTTCCATTCGACTAAGGAGCACTTCCTGGTTTACTTTATTCTAACACTGATTAAAACCTTTCGGTCAGGAAAAAAAACAAGAATTGTTTGGGGACAAAAGACAAACATCTGAACGCTGCTAATGAGAAGGCAGGAAACACCCGGCTACACTCAACACTATACACATTGCATTTCATCGCATAATAGTCGCGGCCACATTTTTGAGGTGGCAAAATTAGTATTTTTTTCTTCACATAATAGTCGCAGAGCCATTTGAGGCTGATTTCCCCTTCCTTCCTTCCTTCCTTCCTTCCTTCCTTCCTTCCTTCCTTCCTTCCTTCCTTCCTTCCTTCCTTCAAGACAAGGCAGTAAACTATAATGACACATTGCATTTCATCGCATAATAGTCGCGGCCACATTTTTGAGACGGCAAAATTAGTATTTTTTCCTTACGTAATAGTTGCAGAGCCATTTGAGGCTGATTTCCCCTTCCTTCCTTCAAGACAAGGCAGTAAACTATAATGAAGTGGAGGTCTCCGGAGCTGTGCTTTTCCACCCTTCCTCCAAAGCCTTAAGGCAATTAAGAAAACTTGAAATTGAGGTCTCTGGAAATGGGATATTTCCTCTTACTTCCAAAGAGCTTCATTTCAGATTTTGTAAAATGCCTTGCCTTTAGAGAAAGAAGAAAGGGAGGGACGAAAGGGGAATCTTCCCTCTTCCTAGTCAAACATACAACAAACATACAAACAGAAGGGAGCTGTTTGTTTGAAACTCGATCATCCTTCCTTCTGTCTCAAAGGTAAGGCCACTTAAAAATAAATAAATCTGAAACCGGAGGATCAAAGGTAGATTTTTTTTAAAAAAATCACATAATAGTCATACCACCCCCTTTTTCAATTCTAAAAAGGGGAGATAAAGCACTGCGACTATTACGTGATGAAAAACAGTATAGGGGAACACACCTATCTACCTGTATGTATAAATTTATCCATCGATAGAAGTCGTTACTATTTTGGGCCACAGCTCCCAGAAGCCCCTCCTGTCCCCAGACATCTCAGAATTCTGTCACAAAATGAGAATTTCAACACTGAGCTCTTGATTAGACTCTGAATTCTCAGACAACAAGTGTGGGCATCAGGCAAACCCACAAGACAAAGCCTGATGCTCATAGAAAGGTAGAGCTGCAAGGAGAAGGTCGGTCTGAAGCTTTCCCCCCCTTCTAGTGCTAGCTTTCTGCAATGTTCATTTTTTTAATTTTTTGGCAGGAAATTTCCATTTTTTAATTTTTTTGGCAGGGGGAATACACCAAGTCACAGACGAAGCCTAAAAGTAGTACAGTCTTTTGTGGAGGGGGCATCCTCCTTGGCCCGAACTCTCGGATTAGAGGTGAAATGCGGCAGGACGTGAGAAGCAAGCTTGGCAAAAGCAACAGAGACGGGAAGAAGCCATCTTTTGAACAATGTCCAAGCTTGACCCTTTGTTCCAGACCGTGGCAAAAGTGGCTTAAAGCAGGGAGATCTCACTCCGAAGAGGCGAGAGGCACAACCCAACAGCTCCAAACAACTCATGGGACTCAAGCGTGGACCAAAGTTCAAAATAAGTTAAGCGTCCATCTTAAAATTGGTATTCCGTGCCATACGATGCATTATCTTCATGTTACATACCTCAAGAGTCATTTTAGTGTCGGGAAGGGATGACCTTCCCACTGACCTCTATGGCTAGAGGGACAACTGGCCATTGAAAACGGGAGGGGAAAAGGAGCAAAAGATTCCCTTCTTGGGGATTTGCAAACAAAAACACTCTTGTCTCTCACCCGGAACATTTCCGTTAGCAATATGTGAGGGCAACTTCTCCCACCTCCCAAAAAAAAAAAAAGGAATTCCTTGGCAAAATGAGACCCATGCCATCCATATTGTCATCGGACGCTGCAAACGGTGGAGGAGAAGAAATTCAGCCACAAACATACAGCTCTCGCACCGCTTTTCTTCATGAGCCAGGCACAGCCGGGAAAGCTGGGGAGGATACCATTCGTTGCCCGTGAAAACAGCCGTGTTTTGTAGTGCAGAAAAACACTTTGTGTGGCTCTTAAAGTGGGGCCTGGGGTGGTAGGAGAGGGGGGCGCACTCCTCGTTCGGCCCTTCTTTTGAGCAGCAAACCCTGTCGCCAGAGTCCTCTCCACCTCGGCTCCTTCATCAGTGCTTCTCCTGTAAGAAAGAAGACCAGCACCACTGTTTACGACAGCCATGTTTGGTTACAGTCCAAAGACCCAAACAGCTCAACGTGCGGGTTAAACCGCTAAGCTGTCTGTTGTACACCTCTGTCCTCAAACACCACATCAGTATAGTAAAACCAGCAAGCAGTTTATTGAAGGATATATGTAAGAAAAGCAATAAAAATAATAGAAACAGTCTGGTCCAAGGGGATGTTCCAACGGTAACAAATAGTCCACTTCAAGGTACAAAGATCCAAGGATGCAAATTCCAAAAGAACAAGACAACATAGAGATCCAATACCCAGAACAGGAAACTGGCAAAACTTGAAACACAAAGCTAGAAATCCACTTGGAAATAAGGTGGTCATGATAATTCAACACTGACCAGACTGAGCTAAAATCCTTTCCCCATCGTATATAAAGCCTTTCCTGTCTCATGAAGCAAAAGGAAAACATTCCGTTTGCCTTTACAACCAGGTAAGGATTTCTTACTTCTGTTTTCTAATAGACTGGCTGACCTTCGGAGAGCTTGGGAACTTTCTCTTAGTTTACAAAAGACTTGTCTTCTACCTTCAGTCTCACCTGACAAATCATCCTCAGAAGACAGTTTCTCAGAGAAAGACTGCTGTGGGCCTCTCCCAGGAATTTAACGTTAGGAATCTACAGAGAAGCACTCAATTCATGAAAAATCTCATGAACACCCTCCTGGGCACACAGAAGACTGGGTGACTTGGAAGACACTGAACAGACTGCGCTCTGGCACCATGAGATGCAGAGCCAAGCTTCAGAAATGGGGCCACAAAGTGGAGTCCACGACATGCGAGTGTGGAGAAGAGCAAACCACTGACCACCTACTACAATGCAGCCTGAGCCCTGCCACATGCACAATGGAGGACTTTCTCACAGCGACTCCAGAGGCACACCAAGTGGCCAGCTTCTGCTCAAAGGACATTTAATATAATGCCAAGTTTTCAAACTTTGTGTTTGTTAAATACATTACAACTGTACCCTTGGTTTGCTCCCGATACGATAAATAATTGAAAAAGGGAGTGAGACTATTACGCAATGAAAATAGATCTGCTTTTGATTCCCTGGTTTCGTATTTAGTGTAATGCCAAGATTTTAACTTTGTTTGTGATTTTTAAAATACATTTTACCTGCATTCTCAATTTGCTTCTGACACGATAAATAAATATGGCGGTTCATCAAAAGTAATGGGAGCTGTAATTCAAAATTCAATAACATCTGAGGACCCAAACTGGATAGCAACTAAAGAGGACCCGGGATTTGTAATTTATATGTGCTATGCTAATAATATAATATATTGTACTAGCCGTCCCCCGCCATGCGTTGCTGTGGCCCACATGGGGGTTCTGTGTGGGAGGTTTGGCCCAATTCTATCGTTGTGGGGTTCGAATGCTCTGTGATTGTAGGTGAACTATAAATCCCAGCAACTACAACTCCCAAATGTCAAGATTCTATTTCCCCAAACTCCACCAGTGTTCACATTTGGGCATATTGAGTATTCGTGTAGAGTTTGGTCCAGACCATCATTGTTTGTGTCCACAGTGCTCTCTGGATGTAGGTGAACTACAACTCCAAAACCAAAGGACACTGCCCACCAAACCCTCCAGTATTTTCTGTTGGTCATGGGAGAACTGTGTGCCAAGTTTGGTTCAATTCCATCGTTGGTGGGGTTCAGAATGCTCTTTGATTGTAGGTGAACTATAAATCCCAGCAACTACAACTCCCAAATGACAAAATCATTTTTTTTTTTGAGTGAAGGACATACATTGGGTTGTTAGGTGTCTTGTGTCCAAATTTGGTGTCAATTCGTCCAGTGGTTTTGGAGTTCTGTTAATCCCACAAACGAACATTACATTTTTATTTATATAGATACTAGCAGTCCCCTGCTATGCGTTGCTGTGGCCCAGTCTGTGTATATTTGTTTTCTGAGTATATGTCTGTATATATGTGTATGTATGTGGTTTTGTGAATGCGCTGTAATGTATTTTTTAAATTTTGGCTTATTAAGTCCTTTATGCTATGTTTTCCACTGTTTTATGAGTGATGGTCACTCACTGGCCTGATAGGTGTATTGTGTCCAAATTTGGTGTCTGTTTGTCATGTGGTTTTTGAGTTATGTTAATCCCACAAACGAACATTACATTTTTATTTATATAGATACATATATTTAACATTATAATGTAACACAATATACTACTACTACTAATAATATTATAATTATATATTTATATTACATGTAATATTACTATTACAATATAATTGGTATAGTATAATATAGCAATATTTAAAACTGATATTGTACTATGCTAATAATATAATATATTGTATTTATATATACCTTGTAAGCCGCTCTGAGTCCCCTTCGGGGTGAGAAGGGCGGCATATAAATGTCGTAAATAAATAAATATATAAATAAAGAAATATATGTATAGTTGGCCCTCTGTCTCTACAGATACTCTATCCATTGACTGTCTTGATGCCCAGTGGTTGTGTCTCATCCTTGCCTTGGTCACCTGTCCAGGCGATGGCTTTACTCTCAAACGAACCACAGAGCAAAGGGAGAACAACCAGACAACCGAGCTTTACAAAGCGCCTACCTCCTGTTTGTGAGATTTATCCTGTTGATGGATCCCATTCGCAGATCCGGAGCTTCCAATGGTCTGGAAGGGAAAGAGCTGCTTGTCAGTTATGGATTACATGCACAGCAATCAAGAAAATAGATTGAACTTTAAGACATTATAAACAGATTGTTTTGTTTTTGTTTTGTTTTTATGCCTGTGTCCTAGAAGTTTCCCTCCTCGTCCGAAATGTTTTCTACCCAGGTGCTCCTTCAATTTAGTGAACCGATGATATTCACTGGGTGCGAGGTCGGGTTGTGAGAGGGGTGACTTAAAACATCCCAACCACATGAAGTCAACAACTCTTGTGTTGCATGAGCGGTGTGCGGACGTGCATTGTCATGAAGGAGACAGACTCCCGCTGTCAGCATCCCACAATGTTTGTTTTGGATGGCTCTGCGAAGTTTCTTCAGGGTCTCACAATATATTCTGAACCCATTTTGTCACATGCTGTCTTGACATTACATCCTCCCCATAAACTGAAATGATTTCACGACGAATCGCAGCAGCGTTCATACCCTTAGCATTTAGGTAGCGTATTACAGCGCAAATTTGGAGGGAAATGGAATGAGGACGCTCATCTCTAACCTTCACCACAATGCCAATCTATGAGCTACTGACGACCGGCACTGCTCATTCGCTTCCGCTGGCTTCCAGCTACACAACAGTGATCCCAACCTCCCCTGAGAAAATTCACCACGAGAGGTACATGCCTTGCAACCTTACTTTCTGGCTATCCCTCGTACATTGTGAACTTCACACTTGGAGGGAAACTGAATGAGGATACTCAATTCTAACACTCATCACAATGCCAGTCAATGAGCTACTCACAACTGGCACTGCTCGTTCGCTTCCATTGGTTTCCCGCTACACGGGAGTGATAGCAACTTCCCCCGAGAAAATTCCCTGCAAGAGCTGCGTCCCTTGTAACCTTACTTTCTGGAAAGTGAATGAGGATGCTCATCTTTAATCTTCACCACAATGCCAGTCGATGTGCTACTGACAACTGGCACTGCTCCTTCGCTTCTGCTGGTTTCCTGCTACACTTCCCCTGAGAAAATTCCCCATGAGAGCTACGTGCCTTGTAACCTTACTTTCTGGATATCCCTCGTACATTGTGAACTTCACACTTGGGAGGGAAACTGAATGAGGACGCTCATCTCTAACCTTCACCACAATGCCAGTCAATGAGTTACTGACGACTGGCACTGCTCATTCGCTTCTGCTGGCTTCCCGCTACACGGCAGTGATACCGACTCCCCCCGAGAAAATTCCTGCAAGAGCTACATGCCTTATAACTTTACTTTCCAGATAACCCTCATATGATGAACGGGGGTGCAATCATGTGTGTGAAGAGTATAACATAGAGGACTCAAACACAGAGCTCTGCGGTGTACCAGTGTACAGGCAGAGGCACTCACCTGTGCTTTTTCTGAACAGCTCCTCATGGCCTCCATTAGCTTCTCCATCTGCTGGCCCTGCTCCAAGGCGTTCCTCAAGACATCCTCGGTGCTGACCAGCCGATGCTGCAACCGCAGGACCTCTGACTCAGACGAAGGGTCAATGAGGGAGTATCGCCGCTGGTCCGTGACGGCTTTCTCTTTATCCTGGACAATGAAATGTGCGAGAAAGCCCACAACAAGTATTTAATGGAATACTGAAGTAAAATAAATACTTTCTTGATAGAAAAGGTCTTGGAGCTCACTAGCTTACTAAAGAAAGGTGAAAAGTAAAAAGATCAATGCAGCTACATTTTGCCTAGAAAGAGGCAAAATGTGTCCTTAATGGAAAGAAGAAAAAGCAGAAGACAGACTGGTCAAATCTGAGATGGAGTTCTTTGGAGAAAGGAGGGAAGATCCCAGATCCAGAGACCAGCCTCAGATGTTGCCTCCAACCAGAAGATCAAGACTCACCAGAACAATCAGTTTTTCCCTTAGGTCTTGGATGTCGTCCTTGAGTTTCTGTTCTTTCAGCCTCCACTCCGCTTTGTGCACCTCGCGGCTCAAGTCCCGCTCGGGTCCTGGAGAGTGACGGTTGGCCTCCATAAGCAAAGCACGCAGCTCGTTTAGGCTTCTGCGGAGAGAGTTTAGGGAATGATGCAAGTCTGCAGGACCGACATTGCTGCCTCTGAATAAGGCTCCACAGTTTGAAAATGACAACGTTCCCGGTGCCGTCCTAAGGCTTTAACAGGCCCTAGGGTGTGGTGATGTTTTGGCCGCTGTAGCTCACTAGCCTAGCTGCTTCACCCAACAATCCCACAAGGAAAAGGTATTTTGGACTATGGACTATTGATTAAGAATGATGCCCTGTGTTCTCAACACAGAGAAACTACAACCTGTCTGTAATTGGATCAATAAGAAATGTGGAGCCCCCGGTGGTGCAATGGGTTAAACCCTTGTGCCGGCAGGACTGAAGACCAACAGGTCAGAGGTTCTTACCCGGAGTGAGCGCGGATGAGTTCCCGCTGTCAGCTCCAGCTCCCCGAGTGGGGACATGAGAGAAGCCTCCCACAGGGATGGTAAAACATCTGGGCAACATTCCTTGGGCAACATAATTGCAGATGGCCAATTCTTTCACACCAGAAGCAACTTGCAGTTTCTCAAGTCACTCTTGACACACACACAAAAAACTCACACTGAGGCCTCTCTCAGACTGAGGCCTCTCTGAGACTGAAGCTTCTTCATACTGAGGGCAACTAACTCTGATGTCTACCTTCACACTGAGGCCTACTAACACTGAGGTTTACCTCACACTGAGGCCTCTCTCAGACTGATGCCCCTCTCAGACTGAAGCCTCTTCATACTGAGGCCTCTCTCAGACTGATGCCTCTCTCAGGCTGAAGTCTCTTCATACTGAGGGCAACTAACTCTGAGGTCTACCTCACACTGAGGCCTACTAAGACTGAGGTTTACCTCACACTGAGGCCTCTCTCAGACTGAAGCCTCTTCATACTGAGAGTAACTAACTCTGAGGTCCACCTCACACTGAGGCCTACTAACACTGAGGTTTACCTCACATTGAGGCCTCTCTCTGACTGATGCCTCTCTCAGACTGAAGCCTCTTCATACTGAGGGCAACTAACTCTTGAGGTCAATCTCACACTGAGGCCTACTAATATTGAGGTTTACCTCACACTGAGGCCTCTCATACTGAAGCCTTTTCATACTGAGAGCAACTAACTCTGAGGCCTACCTCACAGAGGCCTCTCTCAGACTGGAGCCTCTTCATACTGAGGGCAACGAACACTGATACTTACTAAACTACAGTCACCAATACTTATATTGAACTATAGCTTTTGCCGAGTCATTGCATCCATTTAACCCTTTCAGTGCTTGACTCACTTTTTCGTAAATCAAAATATCTAGTTAATTTTTACTATTAATATCTAGTTAAACCTTTTTTAAGTAGTCAGAAATAGTAAAAATTAAGTTTCTCAAGTTGCTCCTGACACATACACATACACAAAACCAAATGTGCCTGTATGATGAATTAATACAAGATGTTTGTGAGTAAACAAGATATGTTACTTTTTAAAGAAGACTTTGTTTTTTTGTCTCTAAGTGCATATTTGAAACTAAGAGGTTTCAAGGGAGAAGTATACGTTTTGGGTAACATCAGCGTCAAAGAAACACTTTAAAACTCTGCTAGCTAAGCATGTACATACATACATATATATATACTGTGTGCAGTGGCATGCCTTTGTCCCTGGCAGTTCAAAGACATGGTTTATCAGCTTAACAATGGAGGTACCTGTGTGCCATTACATGAATGTTTGTGAACATCGCTTTTTTTTTATCAAAAGGGTTGACTTCTAACAAAGTCATACCTTTCCTTGACTAGTGGTTTTCAAAAGGGGGTCTCTGGATGTTCATGGAGATTCACATTTGCATAAAGGATATGACATCACTTTGCAAAAAAGGTTATGAATGCCATTTTTTTCCAAAAAAAGAAAAGGAGGCAGAGGAGGGGGGAAAGGAAGAAGAAGAGGAGGAGGAGGAAGAAGAGAAGCCAACCTTTCTTTTTTCAGTAGTTCCTGACTGATCAGAACCAGCTGACCAGAAGCATCGTGCGTTTTCTTGGACACCGTCTCCAGCTCGGCCTCCAGTCTTTTCTTCTCTTTCAACAGAGAATCTGCCTTCCTCTCGGTACTTTTGCATCTGGTTTCCAACGCTGGCGGACAAAAAAAAAAGAGGAATAACACACTGAAGATCAAGCAAGGTGTTGCTGTCCAAGAGAGCTCCACCAGGCAAAGAGGGATGCATTGTTTCTTTCCTCAAAAGGTTCTAGATCAGGACGGAAGACTCACAACCAAAGCCCTTGAACGCACAACAAATCTATATAAGTAAAAATGTAATGTTCGTTTGTGGGATTAACAGAACTCAAAAACCACTGGGAGAATTGACACCAAATTTGGACACAAGACACCTAACAACCCAATGTATGTCCTTCACTCAAAAATTGATTTTGTCATTTGGGAGTTGTAGTTGCTGGGATTTATAGTTCACCTACAATCAAAGAGCATTCTGAACCCCACCAACGATGGAATTGAACCAAACTTGGCACACAGTTCTCCCATGAACAACAGAAAATACTGGAAGGGTTTGGTGGGCAGTGTCCTTTGGTTTTGGAGTTGTAGTTCACCTACATCCAGAGATCACTGTGGACTCAAACAATGATGGATCTGACCAAACTCTACACGAATACTCAATATGCCCAAATGTGAACACTCAATATGCCCAAATGTGGACTTTGGAGAAAATAGAATCTTGACATTTGGGAGTTGTAGTTGCTGGGATTTATAGTTCACCTACAATCACAGAGCATTCTGAACCCCACTGACGATAGAATTGGGCCAAACCTCCCACACAGAACCCCCATCTGGGCCACAGCAATGCATGGCAGGGGACGGCTAGTAAATAAATAAATATTGACATGATGATTCATAATAGTAGCAAAATGACAGTTACGGAGTAGCAACGAAAATAATATTATGGTTGGGGGTCACCACAACATGAAGAAGTGTATTAAGGGGTCGAGGCATCAGGAAGGTTGAGAAACACTAAGGTCTCTGAGAGCAGGGATTTAACTAATTTACAATGCCATAAAACCTTCCAGCACCGTGCAGAAGAATGAGGAAGTACTCCATCAAAGGACTGTAAGTAAATAAATAAAAAAATTGACATGACGATTCATATCAGTAGCAAAATGACAGTTACGGAGTAGCAACAAAAATGATGTTATGGTTGGGGGTCACTACAACATGAGGAACTGTATTAAGGGGTCTCAGCATTAGGAAGGTTGAGAACCAGTGTTCTAGTTAACACCCTTTGAGGGAAACTTACCACTTACTTGGGTCCTTAGGAGGTCAGTCTGGGAGGCCAAGGACGAGACCTCTTTGTCCTTTTTGCTCAGCTTCTCCTGAAGATCTGAGGGAGGGAAAAGAGCAGGCAGTCAAATCGAGCAACGTATTTCCTTATGGGTATTGAAGGCACCCATAAGGAAAAATGCCGGCGATTCGATCAAGGAGGAAGATTATAAACAAAGCTCTTTGGCAGGGAAGATGGAGCAACAGCTCCACCCTGTGGCCGGAACCAAGCACAGCCTCCAAGATGCCGAAGATGGGCTTACGATCCCAGTTTATGTAATAAGTCCTGGTGTTGGGACCAAGAAAATTACGAATGGGTCATCCGTTGCTGCCTGCGCGAGCGCAGGAATACCAAATGTGCAATTCACAATTGACCACGCTGAGAAATAATATTGAGGATAGCTTTGACAGCGTGGCGAGGGAAAATTAGAACCAGACGTCCTGCGGAGTGAGGTTGAATGGACCTATTTTTGGATGTATGGTATATTATTCTGTGGTAATATAGACTGCTGGTGTTAAACATAATAATAATTTTCAAAACGGATTTGTATGAAAAATATCAGCCCCTCATGCCCAATGGAACGGCTGACTTTGAATCCAGAATTCACTCCATTACCTTCCATTGTCTGCTTCATTTTGATCTTTTCTTCCGAAATGTCATTGGTTTCAATCATCTGCAATACATGCAATAGACAGATTAATCTTGATATGGTCACGGCGAATAACAACAACAGCAACAACAACAACAAGAACAACAATAATAGCATGGGGAATGTCCAGAATGACCGTGGCAGCATACAGTCAACAGACATTATAGTCATTTTCAGAGGAGGGATTTGTATAAGGTTCACGACAGCTTCTAACTGGAATATATGCAAATGTAACAATTAGTCATGGGCTCAATACTTGTCCTATTTGTTTATTTTACTCTCTTTATTATAATTATTACATTTATTATTTTTCTCTATTATTACTGTTATGATGACATTTCCGTTATTTTACTCTATTATTATTGTTATTATATTTATTATTTTACTCTATTATTATTATTATTATTATTATTACATTTACATTGACAGGTGGTAATTTTGTGAAGCGCCAATTGTTTTCAAGTACAGGCCAAGGTCTTGAGGCACTGCACCCAGTGTGCCGATCACCACTGAGAACACCTTTATTGGCTTATGCCATTATTATTATTATTATTATTATTATTATTATTATTATTATTATTATTATGTTTATTTATCTGAGTAGGGTGGCCTTTTGCAGCTGACAGGTGATCATTTTGTCAGCGCTGTTTTTAAGTGCAGACCAAGGTTTTGAAGCACTGCACCCAGTGTGCCGATCACCACTGGGACCACTTTTATTGGCTTATGCCATTACTACTACTACTACTACTACTACTACTATTATTATTATTATTATGTTTATTTATCTGAATAGGGTGGCCTTTTGCAGCTGACAGGTGGCAATTTTGTCAGTGCTGATTGTTTTTAAGTGCAGGCCAAGATGTCGAAGCACTGCACTCAGTGTGCTAATCACCACTGGGACCACTTTTACTGGCTTATGCCATTATTATTATTGTTGTTGTTGTGCCATTATCCCATTATTATTATTATTATTATTATCATTATTATGTTTATTTATCTGAATAGGGTGGCCTTTTGCAGCTGATAGGTGGTCATTTTGTCAGTGCCGATTGTTTTTAAGTGCAGGCCACGGCCTTGAGGCACTGCACCCAGTGTGCCCATCACCAGTAGCACCACCTTGAGTGGCTTGTACCATAGTCTTTGTGTCTTTGCAGTTATTATTATTATTATTATTATTATTATTATTATTATTATTTATATTCCACTTTTTCTCTTCACAAAGGAGACTCAAAGCGGCTTACATTAAAAGCATTGCAGTTGTGCCATTATTATTATTATTATTATTATTATTATTATTATTATTTATATCCCACTTTTTCTTTTCACAAAGGAGACTCAAAGCGGCTTACATTAAAAGCATTGCAGTTGTGCCATTATTATTATTATTATTATTATTATTATTATTATTTATATCCCACTTTTTCTTTTCACAAAGGAGACTCAAAGCGGCTTACATTAAAAGCATTGCAGTTGTGCCATTATTATTATTATTATTATTATTATTATTATTATTATTATTTATATCCCACTTTTTCTTTTCACAAAGGAGACTCAAAGCGGCTTACATTAAAAGCATTGCAGTTGTGCCATTATTATTATTATTATTATTATTATTATTATTATTTATATCCCACTTTTTCTTTTCACAAAGGAGACTCAAAGCGGCTTACATTAAAAGCATTGCAGTTGTGCCATTATTATTATTATTATTATTATTATTATTATTATTATTTATATCCCACTTTTTCCCTCCACAAAGGAGACTCAAAGCGGCTTACATTAAAAGCATTGCAGTTGTGCCATTATTATTATTATTGTTATTATTATTATAATGCTATTATTATTATTATTGTGCCATTATTATTATTATATTTATTTATATCCCGCTTTTTCTCTTCACAAAGGAGACTCAAAGCGCCTTACATTAAAAGTATTTCAATACAATTTAAAAATAATATACAAATATTGAAACAGAATTAAATATCTTGAGTATTCAAAGCAATGCAAAGCCATACGTTGGCGTGTTGGGAAGGGTGGAGCGGTTCCGTGGACTGCAGCTTGTTCTCCAAGACCAGGACCTTTTCCTGCAGGCGCTGGATCTCTTGCTTGCTCTGGGCCTCGGCCTTCTGCAGCGTCTCGTAGTCCAGCCTCTTCTTCTCCGCCAGAGAGATCTGCTCTTTCAAGAAAGCGATGGCTTGGGCCTGGTCTTTGTAGTCGCTGTGCAGCTTCTCCGCCTCGCGGGCGCGGACCTCGCTGTCCCGGTTCTTCTCCTTCAGCTCCTGGATTTCAAGCAAGTACTGGTTAGTCTTGCTTTCCAGCTGCGCCTTCCAGTTGTTGTTGCTTTCTTCCCACGCGTCCTTGGCCTCCTGCAGCTTCAGCTTCAGGCCCTCCTTCTCCTTCACGTGGACGGCCATCTCAATGTCATGCTTGGCTTTGAGGTTTTCCAGCTCCAGCTGGTGCTCCAGCTTGACGCTCTCCATGACGGTTTTCAGCTCCACGATCTCCTTGTGCTGGGAATCTGGACCGGTGCTCAAGGTGGCCTTGAGGTCCTCGAGCGACTTCTGATGGTCGGACGCCAACGTGTCCAGCTTCGACTTCCAGTTGTCCATCAGGCCCATGTTCTCGTTGGTGGCCTGCTGGACCTTCTGCTTGAGGTCCGCAATCTCTTGGGCGTATTTCTCGTTGTGAGCTTTCAAGCGCTCCGCCTCCTGCTGGTGCTTCTTCAGGGCCCTCTCATACGTCTCCTTCAGCTGGACGCTCTCCTTCTGGTGCTCCTTGGTGGCCGAAAGCAGCTGATCCCGCAGGCGGAGGGCTTCCGTTTGCAGGCCAAAGCTGTGGTCTGGAGAATCGGCTTGGCTGGAGGCCTTCAAGCACTGCCTCAGCTCCTCCACCTCCGTCCGCGTGAAGGACAGCTCTTCCTCGAGCTGAAGGATTCTGGACTTCTCTGCAACCGTGGTCAGCTAAAATGTACACACACACACACACAAACGTATATAGGCACAAAGTCAGCTCTTGCATCTCCATATTTCATTTAGCTATTCTTTCAGACAACCTGTAGCATTCCAGATGTTGCTCCATGACCAATCCCAACTTTCCTGGCAACTGACCCAACTGCAAGCTGGGATCTAATGACATCTGGAGGCCATGCAGTTGGGGGAAGCTACACTACGACTTGAGCTGCAAAGCTATTCGATGCTAATCAAGGCAATCAATTGCAGCATTCACACTTGAAAGAGTTCTTACTCCTACCCTGGACCTTCCACAGATTATTAACCCCACTTGGCTAGTTTCCCACCCCTTAAAAACTGGTATTTTTGTGTTCCTCGCATAACAGGCGCAGAGCCTTTTGAGGCTGATTCCTCCTTCCCACCCCTTAAAAATTGTATTTTTGTGTTCCTCACATAATAGTCTCAAGCCTTTTGAGGCTGATTCCTCCCTCCCACTCCTTAAAAATTGTATTTTTGTGTTCCTCACATAATAGTCTCAAGCCTTTTGAGGCTGATTCCTCCCTCCCACCCCTTAAAAATCATATTTTGTGTTCCTCACATAATAGTCTCAAGCCTTTTGAGGCTGATTCCTCTCTCCCACCCCTTAAAAATTTTTATTTTTGTGTTCCTCACATAATAGTCTCAAGCCTTTTGAGGCTGATTCCTCCCTCCCACTCCTTAAAAATTGTATTTTTGTGTTCCTCACATAATAGTCTCAAGCCTTTTGAGGCTGATTCCTCCCTCCCACTCCTTAAAAATCATATTTTTGTGTTCCTCACATAATAGTCTCAAGCCTTTTGAGGCTGATTCCTCCCTCCCACTCCTTAAAAATTGTATTTTTGTGTTCCTCACATAATAGTCTCAAGCCTTTTGAGGCTGATTCCTCCCTCCCACTCCTTAAAAATCGTATTTTTGTGTTCCTCACATAATAGTCTCAAGCCTTTTGAGGCTGATTCCTCCCTCCCACTCCTTAAAAATTGTATTTTTGTGTCCCTCACATAATAGCCTCAAGCCTTTTGAGGCTGATTCCTCCCTCCCACCCCAAAGCCAAGGCAGTTTAAAAACTATGAAATCACAACCTCTGAGGATGCCTGTCATAGATGTGGGCTAAAAGTCAGGAGAGAATGCTTCTGGAACATGGCCAGATAGCTTGGAAAACTCGAAGCAACCCAGTGATTCCGGCCGTGAAAGCCTTCATCAGACAACACACTGACTTATACTATTTCCACTCCTGAAATGTGATTAAAAACAACCCCTCTTCCCCTCTCGTCCCAGGCAGGTGAATCCCTGATACAATGGCTTGCCAAGGCGGCTAGCCGCACACGCAACAGGGTCACAAGTTAGCCATGATGGATTAAAGATTGGTTATAGCAGATGGCAGATGGCGAAATTATTGCTCCCGTTCAAATGGCGTCATGTTGCATGAGAAGCTGGAGAGCAGAAACCAAAGGAGAACATTGCTCTGTTGACGGAAGAGAAGATTGCAAGGAAATTTCCAGAAGGCAGAGAGAAAATTGCAAAGTAAATATGTCAAAATGAAAGAATGAAAGCTCAGAAAGAGATAGTGCGGGAAAGAGAGCAAGATTTTAGAAGCCAAGGGTTGGTTGGGGTCAAAGAGATGCGGCGGGCAAGCGATCTGACCCAACACAGGCAGCTGGCTGGAAATGGAGCACAGCAGGATGGAACGGAGCAGCGGTCGTAGGGTGGAAGGGGAAAGCAGGTTAGTTGGGGGGCGGCTGGGATTACCCTCGTCTCCTCCATCTCTTTGAGAAGCTTTTCGGCCTGTGTCTTCTCAAACAGGAGGCTCTGCTCGAGCTCCCTTATTCGGGCATGCTCCAGCTGCGTCTGAGTCTGGCCGCGCGTCGGGAAGAAAAGAAGGCGAGGAAAAGAAGGAGAAAAGAATAGAGAAATGGGAGAGAGTAGATACAGAAAAGAGAAGGAACCAGAGGAAGCTACAGTGTTGTTCCCGCACTCCCCCACTTTTGGGTGACAAAACTGGTATTTTTGTGTTTCTCACATAATAGTCGCAGAACTTTTTGAGGCTGATTCCTCCCTCCCATCCCTTAAAAACTGGTATTTTTGTGTTTCTCACATAATAGTCGCAGAGCTTTTTGAGGCTGATTCCTCCCTCCCATCCCTTAAAAACTGGTATTTTTGTGTTTCTCACATAATAGTCGYAGAACTTTTTGAGGCTGATTCCTCCCTCTCACCTCTTAAAAACCGGTATTTTTGTGTTTCTSACATAATAGTCGCAGAGCTTTTTGAGGCTGATTCCTCCCTCTCACCCCTTAAAAACAGGTATTTTTGTGTTTCTCACATAATAGTTGCAGAGCTTTTTGAGGCTGGTTCCTCCCTCCCACCCCTTAAAAACAGGTATTTTTGTGTTCCTCACATCATTGTCGCAGAGCCTTTTGAGGTTGATTCCTCTCTCTCACCCCTTAAAAACCGGTATTTTTATGTTTTTCACATAATAGTCGCAGATCTTTTTGAGGCTGATTCCTCCCTCTCACCCCTTAAAAACTGGTATTTTTGTGTTTTTCACATAATAGTCACCAAGCTTTTTGAGGCTGATTCCCCCCTCCCACCCCTTAAAAACTGGTATTTTTGTGTTCCTCACATAATAGTCTTTGAGCCTTTTGGGGCTGATTCCTCCCGTCCACCCTGTCTAGAAAATATACTTCTCGGGGGTCTTAATTCCATGTGAACAGGCATATGATTCACCAATTTGTGTGATTCCACAGACACCATGATGGAGAAATATAAATTTACCTCCAAGTCTCCCTTCGTAATGGACTCCTCCTCGACCCGGAACTGCAAATCTTCAACTTTCCTGCAGAGAAAAGCAAACCATGTTTAATTTATGTGGCAAAATCAGGATTCAGAAAAAAAATGGGTTCCCCTAACACTGTGGAGACCAAAATCCACTGATTGTGGTAATATGAAAATAACTAAATTAACTAAATGTATATATTACACATACACATATAAAAAAACAGGACATTTACTCACACGAAGACTGTGTTTTATATTACAAGAGAAGACCAGTTGTTTCTACTTAATGTGAATGTGGCAGTCCTGTTTTTTTATATGTGTATGTGTAATACATACATTTAGTTAATTTAGTTATTTTCATATTACCACAATCAGTGGATTTTGGTCTCCACAAAATCAGGATTCAGCCATTCTTATGCCAATTATGTAAAGAGGTAAACAATACCAACTTCTGTATTATTTGTCTCAAAGTTTGAACAAAATCCTGCAGCACGTTCACTGATGTATAAATACTGTGCTAATAATATATTGTATATACATATAATATTGATATTATAATTTAATACAATATAATACAACATTATATATATATATATATATATATATATATACACACACACACACACACACACACACACACTAATAGTATGATATAGTACAATACAATATAATATTGTGTTATGGTAACAATATAATATAATGTAATATAATATATTGTACATAAATATATTTATAATATCATAATTTAATACAATTTAATAATATGATATTATGATTATATATTTTATGTTACATGCAATATTGCTAATGATATTACAATATAGGTATAGTACAACATAGTAATAATATAATATATTGTATGTCTATGTGTATGTATGTATGTGTGTGTATATATACATATATCTATATGTATCTTGTAAGCCGCTTCGAGATGAGAAGAGCAAAATATAAATGTCGTAAATAAAATAAAATAAAATAAAATAAATAACAACACCAGAGGCACTGCAAGTGGTCAAAGGAAATAGATTATAATGTTTATGTTTATTCTCAATTGGCTTCTGACAGGATAAACAAATACCTTTTCTCCTCTTCTAACTGGTTGAGCATCTCCACTTTTTCCTTCTGGGCTCCTTCCAGGACTGTCCGCGCCCTCTGCAGATTTCCTTCTGCTTCAGAGATATACTAGAGAGGAAGGGAACAAGGTCTTGGCTAGATCATATACGCACTTGCGCATCGTTCGGTGTTACGGCTTATATATGACAGGGTGGGACTGGGTGGCCCTTGGGAGTCTATGTTTCTATGATTTGGGGTGAGAAACCCTACCTGCTCGTGCTGGGCCTTCAGGATGGCAATCTCCTTCTCCACTTCGCAGATGCGGCTGGTGGCTTTGGCCACCTCGGCTCTCTCCAGGTCCCGCTCGGCCAGGAGCTGCTCGATGTGCTGCTGCTTCTCCTTGAGGGCCTCCTGCAGCGCCGTCGTGCCGGAGATCTTCCTGGCGTAGCGAGAAGAGGTCTCCGTCAACTGCAGAGAGAACACAACAACGCAATCTGCAGCTGCAGTGGAGAAACGACCCCCCCAGAGGAAATCGCAGGTCTTCCCGATATTCAAGGTGACACCTAAATCTCAGGAAGACGGTGCTATGTTCAAATTCTCAAATCGCATACTGTATATATCGATCTTCCTTCGCTCAGCCTTCCTTATGGTCCAGATCTCACATCCATAGGTTACCACGGGGAATACCATTGCTTTAACTCAAGTCACTCTTGACACAAAAAAACCCACAAAAAAACAACTCACACTGAGGTTTCTCTCAGACTAAAGCCTCTTCATACTGAGGGCAACTAACTCTGAGGCCTACCTCACACTGAGGCCTACTAACACTAAGATTTACCTCACACTGAGGCCTCTCTCAGACTGAAGCCTCTTCATACTGACACAACTAACAATGAGGCGTACTAAGCTACAGGCACACCTGAGGTTTACCTCACATTGAGGCCTCTCTCAGACTGAAGCCTCTTCATACTGAGGGCAACTAACACTGAGGTATACTAAGCTACAGGGACACCTGAGGTTTACTTCACACTGAGGCCTCTCTCAGACTGAAGCCTCTTCATGCTGACACAACTAACAATGAGGCGTACTAAGCTACAGGGATACCTGCGGTTTACCTCACACTGAGGCCTCCCTCAGGCTGAAGCCTCTTCATACTGAGGGCAACTAACACTGAAGTGTACTAAGCTACAGGTACACCTGAGGTTTGTCTCACACTGAGGCCTCTCTCAAGCTGAAACCTCTTCATACTGAGGACAATTAAGACTGAGGTGTACTAAGCTACAGGTACACCTTAGGTTTGTCTCACACTGAGGCCTCTCTCAAGCTGAAACCTCTTCATACTGAGGGCAACTAACACCGAGCCTTACTAAGCTACAGGCACACCTGAGGTTTACCTCACACTGAGGCCTCTCTTAGACTGAAGCCTCCAGCACATCCTCAGCAACCACTCATGACTCTCTGCTCATGCTCTGGGGATAGGTTCCTTACCAGTCCGCTTCGGCTGGGTCTTCCCCCCACAGAGGAGGCCACGGAGCTGACGGAGCTGATGGAGGAGCTGCTTGGGCTGTGGGTCAAAGCCGAGACCCCCATGGCCATCCGCTTGCTCTTCTTGGCCTTGGCTGGGCTGGTGGAAGGGAAGCCGATCCGGATCACCTTGTGGATAGGAGCAAAGAGGCCAAACTTGGGAGGGCACTGGAAATACCTGAAGGCAAAAGACAGACAGAAATGATGTTTCAGCTCCTTCCTAGCACAAAACACTACCCTCCACTCTTCTCCCAGGCATCTGTTAGGCCTCCCCTTCTGAGATGACAACACAAGATGCCTTCTTAGTGGTGGCACCTAAAGACGTTTCAGCTCCTTCCTAGCACAAAACATTACCCTCCACTCTTCTCCCAGGCATCTGTTAGGTCTCCCTTATTGATTCCTCTTCCGAAATGACAACGCAAGATGCCTTCTTAGTGGTGGCACCTAAATAGTGGAGCTCCTTTTCACAGTCTACTTGGCCCCATCACTGCTTAGCTTTAGGATTCAAGCACAAAATAATGGGGACATACCACTATATGTCCCCTTGGGGCTCATCTAATAGTCCAACCCCCTGCCCTAAATATAATCAAAACCTTTGTGACAGACAGCCATCCAGTCTTGGCTTCAAAACCTCCAAAGAAGACGACTCCACCATGCTCAGATCTGTCTTTCCCTCATCTGAATACCCTTCTAATGGTAAAGTATTTTACCAACCCCAAAAATGGGGGTGCGACTATTACGTGGTGAAACTATCATGCAAGGAAATATGGTAGTCCCTTCACTTGTGTGGGGAGGGGGAGAACTGCAGGATCCCTACAGAAATAGGCAAGGTAGGTAAAAGGCAAAGGTTTTCCCCAGACATTAAGTCCAGCCGTCTCCGACTCTGGGAGTTGGGGCTCATCTCCATTTCTAAGCCAAAGAACTGGCATTGTCCTTAGACACCTCCAAGGTCATGACTGCAAGGAGCGCCGTTACCTTCCCGCTGGAGAGGTATCTACTGTCCACTCACATTTGCATGTTTTCGAACTGCTAGGTTGGCAGGAGCTGGGGCTAACAGCGGGAGCTCACCCTGCTCCATGGATTTGAACCTGCAACCTTTCAGTCAGCAAGTTCAGCAGCTCAGAGCACCACCGGGTGCTCCAATATTATTATTGATTTTTTTTTTGGTCGCGTCAGGAGCGACTTGAGAAACTGCAAGTCGCTTCTGGTGTGAGAGAATTGGCCGTCTGGAAGGACGTTACCCAGAGAATGCCCGGATGTTGTGATGTTTTAACATCCTTGTGGGAGGCTTCTCTCATGTCCCCGCGTGTGGAGCTGGAGCTGATAGAGGGAGCTCATCCGCGCTCTCCCTGGGTTTGAACCTGCGACCTGTCGGTCTTCAGACCTGCTGGCACAGGGGTTTAACCCACTGCGCCAACAAGGGGTCCATTATTATTGATATTAATATTAAAATATTAATAAATATTATTAGTATTTTATTACTATATATTATTAGATTTATTATCTAACTTATTGGCAAGTTCAACAGCTCAGCGGTTTAAACCACTGCACCACCGGGGGCTCCAATATTATTATTGATATTAATATTAAAATATTAATAAATATTATTAGTATTTTTATTATTATTATTATCATTATTACATATTATTAGATTTATTATCTAATTTATTAACAAGTTCATCAGCTCAGTGGTTTAAACCACTGCACCACCGGGGGCTCCAGTATTATTATTGATATTAATATTAAAATATTAATAAATATTATTAGTATTTTTATTATTATATATTATTAGATTTATTATCTAATTTCAACAGCTCAGCGTTTTAAACCACTGCACCACCAGGAGCTCCAATATTATTATTGGCATTAATATTAAAATATTAATAAATATTACTAGTATTTTATTATATTATATATTATTAGATTTATTATCTAATTTATTAGCAAGTTCAGCAGCTCAGCGGTTTAAACCACTGCACCAAGGAGGCTCAGAAATAGGCAAACTGTGCAAATTAGCAATTATAAAATTGCTAATATCTTCACACCTCTCTAGGAATCTCTAGGTCCTCCCAAGTGACAATCCACTGGCTCTTGTGGTATTCTTGTGGTCAAAAGGCCTTCCTCCCAGTCGGGAGTCGTTTCCTACCTGGTTCCGGCCACGGCGCCATCATTCTTGCCCAGGGGTTCGTCCAGCTCCACCCCACACCACTCCCCTTTGGCGAAATCCGTCTCCCCCACATAGCGCACAACGCCCGTCTTCGTTCCGCCAACCTGTTGCAAGGACAAAAATAAAGACAGCCTTTTTCAGGGCAAGTAAAATCAAGATACAAATATCTGCCATCCATATGTTGAGGGTCACAAGATTCCTGCCAAAACAATCCCTGAACACTGGCCAAAACACGGGGTGGATTCGCTACTCAACTGCCAGCCACAACTCATAAAATGTCAGTACTTTGGTTTAAACGGGTCGAAGTAAGCTCCCGACCATTTGTCTAGCTTGCTGTCGACCTTTGCAGCCCGAAAGACAGTTGCATCTGTCAAGTAGGAAATTTAGGAGGCTAAATTATTATTATTATTATTATTATTATTATTATTATTATTATTATTATTATTATTATTAAGGGGGCTAAATAATTTAGAGGCCAGCGGTAATAGGAAAATGAAATTTGGATTTTGCGACAGGATTCTCCCGACTCGGCTTGTTTTTACTGGCACATTAAACTATACATTTATTGATAAATTTTACTGATGATGTTGTATAATGTTTTAAAAGGATTTGATTGTGAATTGTAATTTTTAGGGTATTTATGCTGTTAGCATCCTCTGATGCTCGTGTGAGGCCGTGCTGAGTCCCCCTTGTGGGGAGAAGGGCGGGATATAAATATATGAAATAAATAAATAAACAAACTAATTTACGACGCCATAAAAATCTCCAGCAGCGTGCAAAAGAATGAGGAAGTACTCCATTGGTGTCACAAGTGGATGGTGAAGCGACAGCTCCCCTGGTGGTCAGAATTCGAAACATACCCTCATGAAGTTGGAAAGTTAAATAGCTTCTGTGTCTCTGTCTATATATGTTGTGCATCTATGACAGGGGTTCCCAAACTAAGGCCCGCGGGCCGAATCTGGCCCTCCAAGTTCATTTACCCGGCCCTCACTCAGGGTCAACCTAAGTCTGAAACGACTTGAAAGCACACAACAACAACAACAACAATCCTGTCTCATCAGCCAAAAGCAGGCCCACACTTCCCATTGAAATACTAATTATTAATTATTTTAATTATTGTATTGTTTTTAAGTGTTTTTTGCACTACAAATAAGGTATGTGCAGTGTGCATAAGAATTCATTCATTTTTTTTTCCAAATTATAATCTGGCCCTCCAACAGTTTGAGGGACTGTGACCTGGCCCTCTGTTTAAAAAAATTGAGGACCTCTGGTCTATGGCATTGAATGTTTGCCATGTATATGTGCATTGTGATCTTCCCTGAGTCCCCTGCGGGGTGAGAAGGGCAGAATATAAATACTGGAAATAATAATAATAATAATAATAATAATAATAATAATAATAATCTATATAAATAAAAATGTAAAGTTGGTTTGTGGGATTAACATAATTCAAAAACCACTGGACGAATTGACACGAAATTTGGACACAACACACCTAACAGTCCAACGAGTGTCCATCACCCATAAATACACACACACACACACACAAAACCTCAGCAGACCAGACTTAAAAACCTCCAAAATACACCATATACACATAAACACATACACTGATATACATATGCACATGCACACATTCATACACACACAGGGATATATATGCACAAACACAAATACACACATATACACACATATATATACATACACACATGCACACACATATACATATCCACATACATACATATATACACACAAATATTTATATAGACAAGAACTCACATATACACAATATGCATGTACACATATAAATACACATATACACACATATATACACACCTATACACACATATCCACAATATGCATGTACACATATAAACACACAAATACTCAAATATACACACACACACATATACACCCATATATATATATATATACATACACATACACATACACATACACACATGCAAACACTCATATATACACAAATGTACACACACATACACACATATATACACACACACAAAACACGTACACAGACTGGGCCACAGCAACGCGCGGCAGGGGATGGCTAGTAATAATAATAATTATTATTATTATATTTATTTATTTATTTACATTATTTATATCCCACCCATATCAGCCCGAAGGCGACTCAGGGCAGTAATAATAATAATAATAATAATAATAATAATAATAATGCCTAGAGCATAACACTGAAGAGTTCCTGTTGCATCATGCATGCCAGCGATGAGATAAGCACATGTTCTCTTCCAACAATGTATGTTACTCATGTATTATAGTGTAAATAGCAATCAATCTTTAAGTGCCGCTCCAGGCTTTGGAGCGGACTGAAGGTAGCACGCTTCATTTATTTCCTTTTGTGCTTCCGAGCACATGCTCCGAGGTCAATACACTTACATAAAAGATTGGCAACAGGATTCCAAGAGACTTACGAGGACGCGGTCTCCGAGCCTGAAGTCTTTGTCACCCTTCTTCACGGACCCGCTGTCCGAGAGGTTGGATCCGGACTCGTTCCCGGTCTTCATGGTGCTGTTGAGGACGCTCTCCCGCAAGGGGATGACGCGAGTGGATAGCGGCGGGGTGGAGGTGCCCGAGTGCAGGGACAGGTTCTGTGCCGTCAGGGACTCCACCGAATGGGCATCGCTGCCCGAGCCCTCCGTGGTGGGCTGGCGGGTCAGCTTAGAAGGCCGGGTGAAGATTCCCTGGAGCTGCGGGCACTCGAAGTAGCGCACCCCGCCCACAGAGCCATCGTTCTTCCCGACCGGGTCGTCTAGAACAACCCCTGCCCACTGTCCCGGTGCAAATTGAGTCTCCCCCAAATACTGGATCACGCCTGGCTTGACTCCGTTGACCCACACACGTTCTCCCACCACAAAATCCCCCAGGAAGTCATCTCCCACTTCAGCAACTTTCGACCCCGGCGGCTTCTCGGTGGTGGCTGCAGAAGACGTAGAGCCTTGTTTGTGTAGTGGTGACCCTGTGGGGAGGAAAACACAAGGTTGTGTGTATATACACATTATATTTATATATATAAATGATCAGCCGCTGCCAGAAAGGATAGAGAGGTTCATCTATGCTGACGATCGTGCCATCACCGTCCATATCGAAAAACCACAAAACAGCGAGTCCACGAAAAGCGAAGTAGCGAGGGACAATTTATTTATTTACAACATTTTGACCCTGCTCTTCTCACTCCCACAGGTGGACTCGGAGCGGCTAACAATGGCAACGATTCGATGCCGCAAAAATTACAATTATAATAACAAGATCAAAACATACAATACAATAAATTAAAACAACATTAGTTAAACAATCATAAAGCCTTTTCCATTGCAACAATCATATGGTCTGATTCAATGTTCAGGAGCCGTTAAAAGTATATTATTATTATTATTATTATTATTATTATTATTATTATTATGTGCATTTATTATTATTATTATGTGCATGCATTTTGGCTTTTTAAGACAACTGTGTGTTTGCATATATATGTGTATGTCTGGTTTTGTGCATGCATTGTAACTTTTATTTTTTGGCTTGTTAAGTCCTTTTTGCTGTCTTTTTTACTATTTTTATGAGTGATGGTCACTCGTTGGCCTGAGAGGTGTCTTGTGTCCAATTTTAGTGTCCATTCGTCCAGAGGTTTTTGAGTTATGTTCATCCCACAAATGAACATTGCATTTTTATTTATATAGACTAGCCGTCCCGTCATATGTTGCTGTGGCCCAGTCTGTGTATATGTGTTTTGTGTGTGTATATATGTGTATATGTATGTTTACGTTTATATATGTGGTTTTGCGCATGCGTTGTAATGGTTTTTTTTAAAAAAAAATGGGCTTTTTATGTCTCTTCCGCTGTGTTTTTCATTGTTTTCATGAGTGATGGTCACTCGTTGGCCTGAGAAATGTCTTGTGTCCAAATTTGGTGTCCATTTGTCCAGTGGTTTTTGAGTTATGTTAATCCCACAAACAAACATTACATCTTTATTTATATAGACTAGCAGATCCCACACACATCAAAGGCAGGAATAAGTGCCAGCAAAGATGCTTGTCTATATACGTTTTGAAGCAATACACCTTCAACAAAGTCAACCTTGTTTTCTCAACCCAAAGGAAGGAAGATTATTATTATTATTACTATTACTATTATTATTATTATTTATACCCTGCTTTTTCTCTCCACCGGACGAATCAAAGCTAGGTTTCTATTATTATTATTATTATTATTATTATTATTATTATTACTACTACTACTACTACTACTACTACTACTACTGTGTTTTTCTCTCCCTCGGGAGACTCAAAAGTGACAATGTATCTAAAATTAGTATTAGAATTATGTTATTCTAATTACCGTATATACTCGAGTATAAGCCGACCTGAATATAAACCGAGGGACCTAATTTTACCACAAAAAACTGGAAAAAACGTATTGACTCGAGTATAAGCCGAGGGTGGGAAATGTAGCTGCTAATTGTAATTGTCAGTAGGTTAAATGTTTTTGAGTATTTACACAAATCTGTAATTTAAGATAAGACTGCCCAACTCTGACTCAACCATTATTCTAACCTCCTTCAATGTAAATGTGCTTACCTATTACCTATAATGATAGAATAAAATAATAAATGTAATAACATGTAATAAAATAATAATAGAGTAAATAATGAAAATTTAATAATAATAGTAATAATAATAATAAAGTAATAATTGTAATAACAACAATAATAGAGTAAAATAATAAATGCAATAAAAGTAATAATAGAGTAAAATAATGTAAATGTAATAATAATAATAATAATAAGAGTGAAATAATAAATGTAACAAAAATAACACTAATAGCAGAGTAAAAATAAATAAATAACCTTGACTCGAGTATAAGCCAAGGGGATTTTTTTCAGCCTAAAAAAGGGGCTAAAAAACTAGGCTTATACTCGAGTATATACAGTATTATTAATTTACACATACATAACAACACAGTGCACATGCACATTAGGTCCGAGTGTCTGTGATTTGTCTCTATTATTATTATTATTATTATTATTATTATTATTATTAAGTTTATTTATACCCTGCTGTTTTCTCTGCATAGTCGACTCCAAGAGACTATTATTACTATAACTAGCCATCCCCTGCCATGCGTTGCTGTGGCCTAGTCTGTGCATATGTGTTTTGTGTGTGTGTATATATTTGTGTATATGTGTATTTATGTGGTTATGCGTATACATTGTAATGTAATGTATTTTTAATTTTATTTTTTGGCTTTTTAAGTCTCTTCTGCTGTGTTTTCCAGTGTTTTTATAAGTGATGGTCACTCGTTGGCCTGATAGGTGTGTTGTGTCCAAATTTGGTGCCAATTCGTCTAGTGGTTTTTGAGTTATGCTAATCCCACAAACAAACATTACATTTTTATTTATATAAACTAACCGTCCCCTGCAACGCGTTGCTGTGGCCCACTCTGGTGGTCTGGAAAATAAAGTAATGGTATCTAATCTATGTAATCTCTTTATTCTTGTGGGTAAACAGTATTTCTTGTTGTTTCTTTGTCAGTGTTGATGTGGAAAGTGTCTGGTTTGCATACTCTGGAATATGCAACATATCATTGTCCCGCTTTAGGGATTCCTTTCAAATCTATGATATTATATCTCTCATATATATCGATCTATATCTATGGCTGGATGGCTCTTTGTCAGGAGGGCTTTGATGAGATTTTCTTGCCCTGGTGAAGAGAGTTGGACTGGATGGTCTTAAGTATTTTCTGTTGGTCATGGGGGTTCTGTGTGGGAAGTTTGCCCCAATTCTGTCGTTGGAGGGGTTCAGAATGCTCTTTGATTGTAGGTGAACTATAAATCCCAGTAACTACAACTCCCAAATATCAAGGTCTATTTCCCCCAAACTCCATCTGTGTTCATATTTGGGCATATGGAATATTCATGCAAAGTGTGGTCCAGATCCATCATTGTTTGAGTCCACAGTGGTCTCTGGATGTAGGTGAACTACAACTCCAAAACTCAAGGTTAATTCCCACCAACCCCTTCTAGTGTTTTCTGTTGGTCATGGGAGTCCCGTGTGTCACCTTTGGTTCAATCCCATCATTGGTGGAGTTCAGAATGCTCTTTGATTGTACATGAACTATAAATCCCAAGAACTACAACTCCCAAATGACTACAACTCCCAAATTTTGAGTGAAGGACATAGATTGGGTTGTTAGTGGTCCACGCTCTTGTTACATCCCGAATAGATTACTGCAACGCGCTCTACGTGGGGTTGCCTATGAAGACTGTTCGGAAGTCCAGCGGGCGGCAGCCAGATTACTCACCAGAGCGTCATACAGGGAGCATACCACCCCTCTGTTATGTCAGCTCCACTGGCTGCCGATCCAGTTCCGAGCACAATTCAAAGTGCTGGTTTTGACCTACAAAACCCTATACGGCTCCGGCCCAGCGTACCTGTCCGAACGCATCTCCCTCTACGTCCCACCTCGGAGTTTGAGATCTTCTGAGGAGGCCCTGCTCTCGATCCCACCTCTATCACAAGTGAGATTGGTGGGGACGAGGAGCAGGGCCTTCTCGGTGGTGGCCCCTCACCTGTGGAATTCACTCCCCGGGGAAATTAGGTCATCGACATCCCTCCTCTCTTTCAGAAGGAAATTAAAAACATGGTTATGGGACCAGGCTTTCGGGCAATCTGGCAGTTAGATAAGGGACAATGATGACTAGAATCGAGAGTACTTGACAATATGGAATGAATTTACGGACTATGAGATGGCGAACGCTGAGCATTCGATTGTTTTTATTGATTTTAATGTATGGACTGACTGTCTGAATTGTTACAATTGCTGTTTACATGTTTTATCCATTGTTATGTTTATGTTGGCATCGAATTGTGCCTTTTGTAAGCCACCCTGAGCCCCCCCCCCCCCCCGGGGGGTTCTTGTGGGTTTTTATTTATATAAATTTGCTTCAGCCACAATAAATAAATAAGTAGCTATGGAAGCAAGGTTGGAAACCTATTTTTTAAATATACCCTGTCCTGGCTTTGAATGAACAGGAATCTGCTGCAAAATAACCGAGTATGCCCCAAACCTTGTTTACAAGGGTCTCAAAACGAGTAATCAGTGAAAGAAGGAAGAAGAGAAGGCAGACAATGCAAGTGAATGGGAGAGAGAAACCCAAGACGCGACTGAATAAACTGGTTTTGCATCGTTTCTGGAAGATACTTAGATTTCAATCATAACGGCATGTCGAGAAAGGTTTTTTTTAAGGCTCGCAGAACACAAGCCAAAGAGACCAGAGTGGAGTCAGCAGCTGGTCGGTGCCCATTGACACCCAGCGTCAGCAGTCAATAAAAAAGCTGCAGTTTTGTTTCAAAAATTAGACCAGCCAAAAAAAGAGCCAATTGTGCACGATGCACTTCACGCCCCGGGGATCAACCGCTTCCATTGTACCAAGCGTTTTGTGCTGTTTTGAACTGAGCAGGGAGAGCTAGAGAGAAAAGGGAGGAGGTTCTCAAAAAACCACGGTGGACGACTCTCACAACCACCACGTCAGGCGACACAGAGAAGCCATTGAAATTGACAAGCACAATGTCAATAGGAAGGAGGAAACCATGAAAAGGAACACAATCTGGCAACCAGTATTTTAAAAACAACTTCTAAAATCAGTACAGTAAATAAAGAACAACACTCAAAAAACAAGGGAACTCCAGACAAGAAACAATCAGGGCCAGATAATTACCTCTCAACAAAGTATTCCCTCCCAGGCAACAATCAGCCAGGCTTTGAAGCTGCAAGGCCATTCAATGCTAATAGAGGAGGCCAACTGAGACATTCACACCTACCTCAAACAGACAAGAGTTCTTTCTCCCACCCTGGACATTATTCCATAGAGGGTACCTCCAGGCAACAAAGGAAGAGACCCTCACTGATTGACTTTGCAGCTGCAAGGCCATTCAATGCAAATCAAGCTGGCCAATGGCAACATTTACACATGCCTCCAGCAGACAATCTTTCTCCCACCTTGGACATCATTCCATATATATATATATATACATACACACACGCACACATACACACACTAGCCGTCCCCTGCCACATGTTGCTGTGGCCCAGTCTGTATATATGTGTTTTGTATGTGTGTGAATATATGTTTATATGTGTGTATATATTTGTGTATCTGTGTGTGTGTGTGTGTATTGACACGAAATTTGGACACAATGCACCTAACAGTCCAAGGAGTCTCCATCACCCATAAACACACACACACACACACACACACAAAACCCCAGCAGAACAGGCTTAAAAACCCAAAAAATACACCATATACGTATACACATACACCCATATACATATACACATGCATACAGTCATACATACACACAAATATACACATATACACATACACATATACACATATACAAATGCACATATTTATATATACATATACATATGCACACACATATACATATACACACATATACACACAAATATGCATATAGACAAGCACACACATATGCAATATGCATGTACACATATAAACACGCAAATACACAAATATATGCACACATATACACACACATACATATACACCCACAAACACACACATATAGGCAAACACACATATATACACAAATATATACACACATATACACACACATATACACACACACACATATATGCAAACACACATATATACACAAATATATACACACACACAAAATACATATGCAGACTGAGCCACAGCAACGCGTGGCAGGGGACAGCTGGTATCATATTATTGGTAGTAGTATTATATTATATTGCATTACATTATAATATTATAAATATCATATGTATTTACAATATATTATATTACATTATATTACAATATTAGCATATTATATATATTAATGGACATACAGGACTATTTACTGAAGGTTTATGCAGTAAATTCAAGGAACTTTCGTCTCGACAATGACCAAAAGAGAGGGCTCACCTTCCTTTGTGGCCGGGGCAGTTGTGGTCGCAGCGCCGGCCGTCCCTCCCGGCCGCCCCGCAGGGCTGGAGTGTTTCCCAGCCCTTCCGGGGATCTTGAGGCCGCTCGGCTTCAGCATCTTGGCCCCTCCGTTGGCGTGGCTCACACCATGGACTGCCTGTGGTCCTCCAGGAGACGATGTGGGGCCACAGCCTTAGGCATCAACGGGATGGAGCCCGTCATCTAAATCCCGAGACCTAGAGAAATGAAAGAAAACAAAGGCCGCCATTTTTTTTGGTCAATATTTTGGTAATTTAAGTATTTATTTATAAAGACACTTTTTTATTATTTTACAAAATGCATAAGGTTGTGGGTGAACTACAACCCCCATCAGGCCAGGTTCACCCCCTGAAACTCCACCTAGATCAGTGTTTCTCAACCTTCCGAATGCCGCGACACCTTAATACAGTTCCTCATTAGTGGTGACCCCCAACCATAACATTATTTTCATTCCTATTTCACAACTGTAATTTTGCTCCTGTTATGAATCATAATGTAAATAGCTGATATGCAGGATGTATTTTCATTCACTGGATTGAATTTGGCACAAATACCCAATAAGCCCAAATTTTAATACTGGTGGAGTTTTGGGGGGATTGATTTTGTCATTTGGGAGTTGTAGTTGCTGGGATTTATAGTTCACCTACAATCAAAGAGGATTCTGAACTCCACCAATGATGGAATTGAACTAAACTTGGCACACAGAACTCCCATGACTGACAGAAAATACTGGAAGGGTTTGGTGGGCATTGACCTTGAGTTTGGGAGTTGTAGTTCACCTATATCCAGAGAGAACTGTGGACTCAGACCATGATGCATCTGGACCAAACTTGGCACGGATACTCAATATGCCCCAATGTGAACAGTAGTGGAGTTTGGGGAAAATATACCTTGACATTTGGGAGTTGTAGTTGCTGGGATTTATAGTTCACCTACAATCAAAGAGCATTCTGAACTCCACCAATGATGGAATTGAACCAAACTTGGCACACAGAACTCTGACGCCCAACAAAAAATACTGGGAGGCTTGACATTTGGGAGTTGTACTTGCTGGAATTTCTAGTTTGCCTACAATCAGAGCATTCTGAACCCCACTAATGATAGAACTGAGCCAAGCTTCCCACACAGAACCCCCACAACCAACAGAAAATACTGTGTTTTCTGGTAGTCTTTGGTGACCCCTTTGACACCCACTTGTGACCTCCAGGTTGAGAATTGCTGACCTATGAGGAGCGGCTTAAAGAGCTGGGCATGTTTAGCCTGCAGAAGAGAAAGCTGAGAGGAGACATGATGAGGGCCATGTATATATATGTCAGGGGAAGCCATGGATAAGAGGGAGAAGGTTTGTTTTCTGCTGCCCTGAAGACTAGGATGGAATGGAACAATGGCTTCAAATTACAGGAAAGTATATTATAATGTTATTTTATATTATATTTGTAATAAAACATTAGCAATATAACAATATATTAATATATAATAATATTTCAATACATTATTATATATTAAATTTATAACACAATATAGTAATATAATAATATATATATATTTTAATACATTGTTATATATTATATTTATAATACAATATATATTACTTTATTTGATATGTATAACACATATCATATAATGTGTTCAGGTGGAATCTCCTTTCTTTCCTGCAGCTTGAAGCTAATGTTCCATTGAGGACGGACTTCTGAACTGTGAGAGCTGTTCAGCAGTGGAACTCTCTGCCCCAGAGTGTGGGTGGCCATCTGTCGGGGGTGTTTTGAATGCGATTTTCCTGCTCCTTAGTAAGAAAGGGGCTGGACTGGATACCTCACGAGGTCTCTTCCAACTCTTACTTACTTAGGCGATCCCTCATTGTCCGAGTAAGATAATCCTCCAGGGTGGGTCCGTAGGTGACTGTGGAGCCCTATTCTTGATCTGCATCGTCTCCCGCAGTGAGGGCATTGGTTTCCAGGTGGAAGGTGGTCTCGGTCAGGGTTGGCTTGACGCGCCTTCCTCTTGGCACGTTTCTCTCTTTCGCCCTCCATCCGTGCCTCTTCAAATTCTGCAGCACTGCTGGTCACAGCTGACCTCCAGCTGGAGCGCTCAAGGGCTAGGGCTTCCCAGTTCTTAGTGTCTATGCCAGAGCTTTTAAGGTTGGCTTTGAGCCCATCTTTCAATTTCTTTTCTTGTCCATCAACATCCCGTTTTCCATTCTTGAGTTTGGAGTAGAGCAACTGCTTTGGGAGACGGTGGTCGGGCATACAGACAACGTGGCCGGTCCAGCGGAGTTGATGACGGAGGAGCATCGATTGAATGCTGGTGGTCTTTGCTTCTTCCAGCACGCTGACGTTTGTCCGCCTGTCTTCCCAAGAGATTTGCAGGATTTTCCAGAGGCAGCGCTGATGGAATCATTCTAGGAGTTGCATGTGATGTCTGTAGATAGTCCACGTCTTGCAGGCGTATAGCATGGTTGGGAGGACAATAGCTCTATAAACAAGTCCCTTGGTATCCCTACGGATGTCACGGACCTCAAACACTTTCTGCTTCGTTCGGAAAAATGCTGCAATCGCAGAGCTCAGGCGGTGTTGTATTTCTGTGTAGATGTTGACTTTGGTGGAGAGGTGGCTGCCAGGGTTGGGAGGACAATAGCTTTATAGACAAGCACCTTGGTCTGCCTACGGATGTCCTGGCCCTCAAACACTCTCTGCTTCATTTGGAAGAATGCTGCACTCACAGAGCTCAGGCGGTGTTGTATTTCGGTGGTGAGGTGGCTGCCAAAGGAGCGGAAATGGGTTCCGCTACCAACTCTATGTTTCTTGCTGAAGTCAAGATAGGCCACATCCACAGCATTCCATGCATCTACCAAGCTTGTAAGTCTATCTGCTGGGACTTGTTTTTGAGGAGCCCATGCTGACTTTGAGCAATTCCATCATTCTTGTCTCTCCCTGCCAGGGCCTGCCTCTGCCAATGATCCATGCCTGCGCTGGAATCCTTCTTTGACTCACGCCTTAATTATGACTTCCTGTCTCGCTGCTTTTACAGCGCTTCCAGATGCTCGGCTTCAGCGTGGGACACATCCCTCTTATTCCTGCGGTGCTCAAGGACTCGAGAAATGGCGCAAACTACACTTTCCATGCTGATGGCTAGCCTTTCTCCTTCCCTCCTTCCTTCTTTCAGGCTGGCATGCCAAGGGGATCTGACCTAGCAGTGGATATATGCCACTCTTCAGTGGAACTAGACTATAGACAGATATATACATTCCTTTCTGGAAATAATAAACAAACCCTACAGAAGCTTCAGAGTCCAGCTTTGTGGGTGGAGGAGGCATTGTTTCTTTGATCTTTGCATGAGTTCTAGTTCAATAGATAGATAGATAGATAGATATTCCACTCCCCAATAAATATTTGCATCACAGCTACACAAATTCACGCCTATCTATATTTATATCCAGACCCCATCTCCTCCAAAATTAATATAAGGCCTACTTGGAAAATAAGACCGAACCTTATTTTTCAGCAGGAGACGCACAATAGAAGCTCGGCTCCTCAAAATAAGTCCCAGTTAACAACAACAACAGTTAAGACTGTCAGATGGATGCATTTCTCAGCAAGGCACCCATTGTAACACACAAAAATGTGAAATAATATTAACGTACTAGCTGTACCCCCCACACATTGCTATGACCCAGTCTGTGTATATGTGTTTTGTGTGAGTATATATGCATAAACTAGCTGTCCCCTGCCACGCGTTGCTGTGGCCCACTCTGGTGGTCATGGGGGTTCTGTGTGGGAGGTTTGGCCCCCCACACAGAATACAATATATATTGTATTCTAATATAATATATGGTATTATAAATATCATATAATACTGTATTAAAATATTATTATATACTAGCCATCCCCTGCCACGCGTTGCTGTGGTCCAGTCTGTGTATATGTGTTTTGTGTATGTTCTGCTGTGTTTTTTGCGTGTTTTTAGGGGTGATGGTCACTCGTTGGCCTGATGGGTGTCTTGTGTCCAAATTTGGTGTCGATACGTCCAGTGGTTTTTGAGTTATGTTAATCCCACAAACGAACATTACATTTTTATTGATATAGACTAGCTGTACCTGCCCAGTGTTGTTCTTTATTTACAATAATATATAATTATAATAAATAATAGTGTATTATAAAATAATTGATAATATACTACGATTAAATATTATTATGATTAGTAGGCTGTTATATATTATACTAATTTAGTTAATAAATATTATAATACTAATAATATATGTATCATATATATACACACACACGTGTCTACATAATGATATATTGCAAGACTGAGTACTATATTAAGAACATCTAAATATCATTATATTTGTTTGAAAGAATATATTTGTATATAAATATAAATATATACCAAACAATGTATAATAATAAAATAGTAACAAATATAAAATTATATTTTTATTGTGAATATCATCATATATAATACTAATATATCAGTATGATTATATATTATATATATATAATAAGCACTGCAGTAATAATGTGTTCATAATATAAATAGAAGATATACATATATATTAAATATATAAACTATTATAGAATATGATATATTATATATAAACATAAGAAATAACAATACTATATACATATATATAAATAGAATACATTATATATAAATATAATATATAACACTATAATATATTATAGCAATAAATATAAAATATAATAGCATCTTATATGTATCTATAAATAGAATACATTATATATAAATATAACATATAACACTATAATATATATATTATAAATATAAAATATAATATTATCATGTCTATAAAATAGAATATAATACATTACATATAAATACAATATACAACACTATAATATATATATATATATATAATACACAAATATAAAATAATTATCAAATATATATATATATAAAAATAGAATATAATACATTAGATATAAATATATTACACTATTATAGAATATGATATATTATATATAAATATAATACATAACAATACTATATACATATCTTGAGCATTACCTTACTGGCATGAGAAATAAGGGCCACTGTACGGAAGTTGGAGCAGGCTTTCGCATTTCCCTTTTTTGGTATGGGGATATAAGTTGATTTTTTCCAGTCTGATGGCCATTCTTTGTGTTTTCCATATTTGCTGGCATATGGCATGCATCACCTTGACAGCATCATCTTTTAAGATTTTAAACAGTTCAGCTGGGATCCTGTCATCTCCTGCTGCCTTGTTGTTAGCAATGCTTCTTAAGGCCCATTCAACTTCACTCCTCAGGATGTCTGGTTCTAATTCATTCACCACACCGTCAAAATCCTCGAAATTATTATCCTTCCTATACAGATCTTCTGTATAGTCTCACCACCTTCTCTTGATCTCTTCAGCTTCTGTTAGGACCTTGCCATCTTTGTTTCTTATCATGCCCATTTTCTCCTGAAATTATCTCCAATGTTTCTAATTTTCTGGAAGAGGTCTCTTGTCCTTCCTATTCTGTTGTCTTCTTCCACTTCCATGCATTGCTTATTTAAAAATAGTTCCTTATCTCTTCTGGCTAACCTCTGGAATTGCGCATTTAACTGGGCATATCTCCCCTTACTATCCCTGTTTCCTTTTGCTTTCCTCCTTTCTTGGGCTACTTCCAGTGTCTCAGCAGACAACCATTTTGCCTTCTTGGTTTTCTTTTTCTTTGGGACGTACTTTGTTGCCGCCTCCTGAACAATGTCGCGGACTTCTGTCCATAGTTCTTCTGGGACTCTGTTTACTAAATCTAGTCCTTCAAATCTGTTCTTCACTTCCACTGTATATTCGCTAGGAATGTTAGTGAGATCATATCTAACTGGTCTGTGTATTTTCCCTGATCTCTTTAGTTTTATTCTAAATTGGGCAATAAGAAGTTCTTGATCTGAGCTACAGTCAGCCCCAGGTCTTGTTTTCACCGACTGGATGGATGTCCGCCACCTTTGGCTGCAAAGGATGTAGTCAGTCTGATTTCGGTGTTGACCGTCTGGTGAGGTCCATGTATAGCCGTCTTTTAGGTTGTTGGAAGAGAGTATTCGTTATACACAGCGAGTTTTCCTGGCAAAATTCTATCAGCCTGCGTCCCGCTTCATTTTGTTCTCCCAGACCATGCTTGCCTGTGATCCCAGTTGTCATTTGACTTCCCACCCTGGCATTCCAGTCTCCTGTAATGAAAATAATGTCTCCTTTTGGTGTATTATCCAGTAGGTCCTGCAGATCCTCATAGAACTGATCTACTTCTGCTTCTTCAGCAGCTGTGGTTGGGGCGTATATTTGGATCACTGTAATGTTGAAAGGCTTTCCTTGCACTCGAATTGAGATCATTCTGTCATTTTTTGGGTTGTATCCAAGCACCGCTTGAGCGAATTTCTTATTAATTATGAAGGCTACTCCATTTCTTCGATGTTCCTCTTGTCCGCAGTAGTAGATCTGGTGGTCATCTGATGTGAAGTGGCCCATTCCAGTCCACTTCAGTTCGCTGACCCCCAGAATGTCTATCTTTAGTCTTGACATCTCGCCAATAACAACATCCAATTTGCCCTGGCTCATAGATCTTACATTCCAGGTTCCTATGGTGTGTTGATCTTTAGAGCATCGGATTCGTCGTTCACCTCCAGTACTTTCGGCCGCTAGCCTTCCTTTCGGCTTTGAGCTAGCTGCGTCATCACATCTGGGGCTAGTTGAACTTATCCTCTGCTCCCCCCCAGTAGCATTTTGGCCATCTTCCGAACCTGGGAGTCCATCTTCCAATGGCATACCGACATATCTCTGGTTGTACTGGTCCATTTAGTTTTCTTGGCAAGGATACTGGAGTGGTTTGCCATTGCCTTCCCCAGGGATCACGCTTGGTCTGACCTCTCTGCCACAACCGTCCCGTCTTGGGTGGCCCTTCACGGTTTCGCTCATGACATCATTGAGGTGCTCAAGCTCCAGCGCCCCGACAAGGCGGTGATCCTTTGCTGGAGATACATATCTTGAGCATTACCCTTATTTCTCATGCCAGTAAGGTAATGCTCAAGATCCTGCAAGGAAGACTCCAGCAATACATGGAGCGAGAGTTGCCAGATGTTCAAGCTGGGTTTAGAAAAGGCAGAGGAACGAGAGACCAGATTGCCAATATCCGCTGGATAATGGAGAAAGGCAGGGAGTTTCAGAAAAACATCTACTTCTGCTTCATTGACTATTCTAAAGCCTTTGACTGTGTGGATCATAATAAATTGTGGCAAGTTCTTGGTGGGATGGGCATCCCAAGCCCCCTTCCCTCTCTCCTGAGGAATCTGTACAAGGACCAAGTAGCAACAGTCAGAACTGACCACGGAACAACAGACTGGTTCAAGATTGGGAAAGGCGTACGGCAAGGCTGCATACTCTCACCCAACCTTTTTAACTTGTATGCAGAACACATCATGCGAGGATGTGCAGGGCGATGAATGCAAAGCTGGGGTGAAAATTGCTGGAAGAAACATTAACAACCTCAGATATGCAGATGACACCACTCTGATGGCCGAAAGCGAGGAGGAGCTGAGGAGCCTTCTAATCAAGGTGAAAGAAGAAAGCGCAAAAGCCGGGTTGCAGCAAAACGTCAAAAAAACCAAGATTATGGCAACAAGAATGATTGACAACTGGAAAATAGAGGGAGAAAATGTGGAGGCAGTGACAGACTTCATATTTCTAGGTGCAAAGATTACTGCAGACGCAGATTGCAGCCAGGAAATCAGGAGATGTTGACCTCTTGGGAGGAGAGCAATGACCAATCTCGATAAAATAGTGAAGAGTAGAGACATCACACTGGCAACAAAGATCCGCATCGTCAAAGCAATGGTATTCCCCATAGTCACCACGGATGTGAGAGCTGGACTTCAGGGAAGGCTGAGCGAAGGAAGATCGATGCTTTTGAGCTGTGGTGTTGGAGGAAAGTTCTGAGAGTGCCTTGGACTGCGAGAAGATCCAACCAGTCCATCCTCCAGGAAATAAAGCCCGGCTGCTCACTGGAGGGAACGATACTAGAGACAAAGTTGAAGTACTTTGGCCACATCATGAGGAGACAGCAAAGTCTAGAGAAGACAATTATGCTGGGGAAAGTGGAAGGCAAAAGGAAGAGGGGCCGACCAAGGGCAAGATGGATGGATGGCATCCTTGAAGTGACTGGACTGACCTTGAAGGAGCTGGGGGTGGTGACGGCCGACAGGGAGCTCTGGCGTGGGCTGGTCCATGAGGTCACGAAAAGTCGGAAATGACTGAACGAATCAACAACAACAACAACAACAACAACAAATTTGAGTATAGGCAGTTCTTGATTTATATCAGAATGTGATTATGGGCAAGAAATAGAAAATAGAGGAGCAGAACATATGTGGATCTTTGGGCACACCTATGGGGACACCTATGAGAGAAGATGATAGAGCGATATAATAATAAAATATGTAAAAAATATAAAATATATTTTATATGTAATAATACATTATATATAATATAATATATCAGTATAATATATATATATATATATATAATAGCACTAAATATAAAATAGAATATTATCATATATATAAATAGAATATAATACATTATATATAAATATATTACACTATTATAGAATATGATATATTATATATAAACATAAGAAATAACAATACTATATACATATATATAAATAGAATACATTATATATAAATATAATATATAACACTATAATATATTATAGCAATAAATATAAAATATAATAGCATCTTATATGTATCTATAAATAGAATACATTATATATAAATATAACATATAACACTATAATATATATATATTATAAATATAAAATATATATTACCATATATATATGAAAATAGAATGTATTGCAAATGCTATTAGAAAATATACTATAATAGATAATACTATATACATATATATAATAAATATATAATATAATATAATATATATTAATACATTATATATAAATACAATATATAACACTAATATATATAATAACAATAAATATAAAATATATTATCATATATATATAAATAGAATATAATACATTATATATAAATATGTTACACTATTATAGAATATGATATATATAAATATAATACATAACAATACTATATACATATATATAATAAATATATGCATATATAAATATAATATTATCATGTAAATAGAATAGAATACATTATATATAAATATATGACACTATAATATATACATTATAAATATAAAATATAATATTATCATATATATAAATAGAATAGATCATATATAAATATAATATTATCATGTAAATAGAATAGAATACATTATATATAAATATATGACACTATAATATATATATATTATAAATATAAAATATAATATTATCATATATATAAATAGAATAGATCATATATAAATATAATTATCATGTAAATAGAATAGAATACATTATATATAAATATATGACACTATAATATATATATATATTATAAATATAAAATATAATATTATCTTATATAAATATAAAATAATACATTACATATAAATACAATATACAACACTATAATATATATATATATATATTACAGCAATATAAAATAGAATATTATCATATATATATATAAAATATAATACATTATATATAAATATAATATATAACTGTGTGTGTGTGTGTGTGTATATATATATATAATAGCATTGTCATATATACACATGTCTCCAGCCTACTTTCCAAGGGCGCTTCCCCCTTTGAGAAGGGTATAGCAACAGGACAGTGAGGGGACCACCCAATGTGCCTGTGTGTGTATTTGGGCCTCCATGAGAGCTCTGTCTCTGCCTGCTCCCCTCCATCTCTGCCTTTGTTGCCGCCCCCTCTTCCCTCCCTCCATGTTTGCCCCCCTCCAGGCTCACCTCCGCTTCCCCGCCCACGCCGGGCGGGAGACCAAATCGAGGCTCCGGCTGGGGTTCCTGGGAGTGAGGCGCCTAGGCCGCGCCGGGCACCCGCCCTTCCCCAAAGAATGGATGGAGAGCAGCGCCAGCGGGAGAGCGCCTGTCAATCAGCGGGAGGGGGCGGGGCCGCCACTCCCTGAGGACCAGGCGGAGAAAGGCGGCAAGGAGGAGGATGCTTCGAAAGGGAGGCGGGCGGGCGGGCGCGCAAACAGCGCCACAAAAACAACCCAACGCCAGGGCTGTTCCCCCTTGCAGGGACACCGCCCCCCGCTCCTCCGGCTCTTCCCTCCTCCGGACGCTCCCCCCCTCGCCGGGAAACAAAAGAGGATGGGAAGGGGGAAAGGGGCGGGGCTTAACAGATGTGGGCTGGCTTTCCTTTTTTTTTTGGTTGCTTAGCTCGATTCGTTGGTTCTCGGACTGAAAAGCAAGCGGGCGGGCAGGAGAAATACCTTGTCTAATGCACTAATGTAATATATTATTATTATTACTATTATTCATATTATAATACATAGAATATAAAATATATAATTATAATATCATATTGTTATTATATATATAGTGTATTATATATACTATTATAATATAATAATATAATAATATATGATATACTATTATACTATACTGTACTATAATATACTACATATTATATATATCTTGCATATATATATATATGTTTAATACTATACTATTATAATATAATAATATAATATAATATATACTATATAAATACTATAATATACTATAATATATTATACATATCTTGCATTTATGTATTATATATACTACTATAAAATACTTACCCATACCTTCCCATACCCCCCCCCCCCTCCTCCTCCTCCCTCCCCCTCCCCTCCTCCTCCTCCCCTCCTCCTCCTCCCCTCCTCTCCTCTCCCTCCTCCCCCCCCTCCCCCTCCCCTCCCTCCCCCCCTTCCCTCCCTTCCCTCCCCCCCCCCCTCCCCCTCCCTCCCTCCCCCCCCTCTCCCCCCCCCC